CCCCGCCAGTAGTAGGGACTGAATCCAGAACCGACATCCCCTGTCCTTTGTTATTTTTAAGTAGGGCCTCACTAAATTAGACAAATTGACCAGGCTAGCCTCAAACTTGAGATCCTCTTGTTTTAGCCTAAGATTTCAGGCACATGCCACCACTCCTAGCTTGCTTAAAAATCTCATTTTACAAATAAGAGTAAAGTCAGATAGGAACCAGGAAAATTCATCAGCTAGGTGAATGCTTTTGATTTTATTTCTATTCCCTTCTTCCAAGGCAATTTCTCCTCCTTCTCTGTTTTCCTATATTACTCTTGTCACCTCTATAACATTTCATATTGTTTTACTTGCGAATATTAATAAAACCTACTGTTTCTCCAGCCTTAAAACTTACAACACCCCATCCCTAGCCCTGGCCTGGGATGCAAACTTCATGAACAGGTAGAAATCGTAACTGGCCACACAACGTTTACTGCATTGTCAAACCTGCGACGTAATCAGGATCATTATCTTTTGACTTGGAAATGAGGAGACTGAAACAGAAACTGGGCAGCAAGGATAGAGCGTAACGTCTTGGTTAATCTGGGACCTCAGCACCACGTCGCGTGCGAGGGCCCTCAAGCCAGCGCCTGTCTCAATGTCCACGGGCCCATAAGTGTGCAGCTTCCCAGGAGCAAACTGGCCGCCCACGAAGCCGAACACAAACAGAGGACACGCGTCCTCTGCTTCAATAGTGCACGGCGGGAGGGTCACGTGGGCCCAGGGCGGGGCTGGAGCGAAGCCGAGGGTCACGTGGTACGGAGGGGCGGTGCCATAGGGGGCGTGGTCGTCCTACCGTTCGATCCGCCTAGGCAGAGGTTCTTCGCGGGCCACGCCCCCTGGACCCTGCGGGACCCGCGCGCGACGGCGGGGTGGAGCCTTCTTCGTGACCTTTCACCCCAGCATGGCTGCGCCCTTGGGAACCGTGAAATTCTGGCGACCCGGTAAGGCCCTTGGAGGAACGCTGGGCAGGTGCGGCGGCCTGACTTCGGCCTCGGTACCGCGGCCGGCGCCCTGGGGCCTGCGGACCTGCTCGTAGGCCTGACCTGGCCGGGCTGGGCACCTTTGTGCGGGAGAACTCTGCGACTCTGGCGCCCACAGTGGACCCGTGGGAGTGGGGAGCCTGCTCCCAAGCTGTGTAGAGCTCTTCCTGTGACCTAGTTTGAGTCTCAGCCTCCTCGAGCCTCGTTTTCCTCGCTACTGCCCTGTCCTGCCCATCCCGCGGGATGGGGAGTCTTAAAGCGCCCACGCGTACCTTCCTACAGCCCTGGGGCTCCTTAGGGGCGGGACCGGCTGCTCTAGGGCTTAGGAGCCCGAGCTAAGGAGTCAGACTGCCTGGGTTCAATTCTTTGGCTCTGCCTTATATAGCAGGGTAACTTTGAGCAAGACGCTTAACCCCTCTGAGCTTTGGTCTCCTCACCCGTAAAATGGGCAGAATAATAACATCTATGTTGTAGGGCTGAATAACGAGCATGGCACATTGTTTGACTTAAAGTACTCGTAAAAAGGGAGAGTGTTATATTCTGTAGACATCACCCTGAATCTTTACCAGAAAGTGAACAACCTCCTCCTCCTTATTGACCACCACTCCCTTCCTCTTCTGTGCACTAACACAAATCACTATCACAAAATGCTTTATTTTGGCACTTACTAATCAGGTGAGTATATTGAATGTGTATGTATACCAGACCATGCTAGATGCATTATATTTATTTTCTTCCATCAGTTTCAGGTAAAAAAAAAAAAAAAAATCCAAGCCTGCCTGTCTTTGTCTCTTTTGGTACTGGGTAGTGAAAACAGGGTCACTCTACGGCTGAAACTACATCCTATCCCTTTTTATTTTTGGAACAGCATCTTGCTAAATTGCCCAGGCTGGCCTCTAATTTAGGATCCTCCTGTTTCAGCCTTCCCCATTGATGAGATTATAGGCATGCCAGTTACCAGTTTATTACCCTTACTGGTCTGGATATGCTAAGTATTATGCAGCAAAAATGAAGTGAGACAGAAAAGATAATATATGGAAGGCTTTTCAAGGGTGTTTTATAATGTATCCCTGAAATTCCGACCATCTTGCTTAGGTTTATTTCCCATATAAGTGATAAACCTAAACAAGAGATGGACTTAATTCTTTTGTAAAATCTGTAGTTTGCTTGTTATGACAGTTTTATGATTCAGCATTTCAGGGCATCAGCCATGTATTCATCCTGAGTTTTATTTGCAGCCAAAACTAAGATCCCATTAAGTAATGAATTACTTTTTATTTTGTTTATTCAAGACTTTAGTAATAGATCAAAATGTAAGTATAATAAAGACCTGAGTGAGTTGTTGAAAATCAAACCAGGGTACTGTTTTGGTTAAAGAACATGGAGTTACTCTAAGAGTTCTCTTCTACTTAGTTCTTTGAGAGTGCATTTATTGAACCTCTAATCCCATGTATAAATGATCAGGGCTGTGCTCTCAAGGTGCACCTCTCTCTCAATTGAATGTGAAGTTAGAAGCCTGTTAAGAGATTTTAAATGAGGCAGAATAGGATGGTGTTAAAGAAAATGGGCTCAAGAGTCAAGACTGTAGTGGCCATCTCGACCAACTCTTACTAACTTGGTGGCTTGACAAAGTTAAGTGAGTGCTCCATCTGGTTTTCTCATCCATAATTTGGCATAAAGGAATTGTGAGGATTAAATGAGAATAATATATGAAAAGTTGAAAGGCTGTTAGCACTAAATATGTAGCTATTTATAATTATGTGGAAGTATAGAAGAGGGAGGGAAAGATTGAATGCGTGGATAAGAAATACTTCATAAAGATGGTAGTATTTTTGTAGTGAAATTGAAGGATGAATAAGGTTTTATTTCATGGAGAAATAGAACTAGAGGCAAAGGGTGCAGCGTGAAAAAGGCACAGTGGAATTTGTGTCATAAAAATGCCCCCCAAACCAAAATAACCGAGTGGTGTGATGGTGTTATGTGGCATGATGCTTTGGGGGATGTGGCAGAAGATAAAGCTACAAAGGTAGGGAGGAGTCTCATTGTCAAAGATCTCTCTGACAAGGTAAAAGAATATGGACTTCACTTTTTAAGTAGGGGAATTGTACAGTCTGGTTTACTTCAGAAAAGTAATGCTGGTGGTGGTGTAGCAAATGGATTGAGGAGCAAACTAGAGGCAGGGACACTTTTGTATTTTTTATTTTTTGGCAATACTGGAGATTGAATCTAGGGCTTTGCTTTTAGCACACTTGGAAAGTGCTGTACCACCGAGCTACATCCCCAGTCTTAAGGACAAAATCTTAAGAGAAGTACTACTAGCATCCAGGAGGATGTTGTAGACCTCAGTCTTGGCCTGGGAGTTCAGTTGAGGGATTTACTGGACAGACATTTTAGAGGCACTTAGGGGAGAAGGTGCAGTCATTAACAACTCAGATTTCTAGGCTGGTAAGTGGTTCTCAAATTCTGCCATAGAGTGGAATTTCTTGGGAAGCTTTAAAAAATCCTAGTGTCCTTTTGTACCCCATATCTCAGAAGTCCAGAGAACTAGGAACCAGGCAGCAGTATTTTTCAACCCTTAGGGGAACCCAGCATGCATCTAAACTTGGGAACACTTGTCTTGGTAAACTGTCATTAACTGAGATGGGAGTAGCTTTAATACACATTACTGGGCCCTTGCTTTGACTTCACTTACCGTATTGTATTAAGCAATCACAGTATCTTTGTAATGGAGTTAATACTCTTATTTTACAGATGATTAGACACAAGGGCAAGATATGAAATGGGTTGTGGAAATTGCAGGGAGGTGACTGAAGCTGGAAAAATGGCTAGATATTGGAATGAATCGTGAATATATCCTGTAGGCCAGGAGTCACAGGCTCAGCTACATGTCCTTCAGACTATCGGAATGAGTGAAGCTACTTAGTGGAATAATGAATGATGGGCACTGTGGCAAACTAGAGTGAACACACACTGCATAGATACAGACAGTGTAGATATACATTGGAGCTTGCATATGCTGAAGCAAGGAGCTGTACTATGCTCCACCTAATTGTTACCAGTTGGGCTCAGAGTTGCCAGATAGTTTTCTTTTTTTTTTTTTAAAGTAGCCTAATATCCAGATTCTAATGGGAATTCTAATTGAAAAATTTTGCCTCATCATTTAAATGGACCAAATTAAAACATTTTAACAAGAGCATGTTGGGGGACCTTAAGCTACCAGTTTGTGTTCTCTACCTTAGTAGTGTGACCTACCTAAAATTTTTATAGAAAAAAAAATCACTGAATTTTTTAGCACACATGGATAGAAGGGCCTGTCCATTTCCATATGCTCACTCAACAGACATTAATGGTTGCTATTCAGGGGCTTTATAAAAACTTCATAACATCAGCTTTGAAACTTTTTGACCTGACTCACAGTGAGAAATGTATTGTATTGTGATGTAGCACACATACATACCTGAAAATATTGTACAAAAATAATATTGCTTTTTGAAATGTGCTCTGATAATTCCTGTTTGTTTTCTTCCATTTTTTTGTTCTGAGGATCAAACCAATCCTTGTGCTTACTAAACATGAGGTCTACTGAGCTTCACACTCTGCCTTTATTTCTATTTCATTATTTTAAAAAGGCTGATATGATCCCTGTATCAATTTCATAACCCATCAATCAAATTTTGAAAAGTTGGTTAAGTAAAGGGAATGCTGGATTGGGCCTTTTTTTTTTTTTTAATAGATGGAGAGTGAAGGTGTTCACGGTTTGTGAAAATTGCAAAGCTGTTATTCCCTTAAACAAGAGTACATACCCAGTGAAAAAGTAACTTTAAGCAGCCAGAGTGGGTGTGGCATGTGTACAGAGGGAAGGGAGTCCTGATGTGCTGGTTTGACTGAACAAAGACTTTTGTAAGGAAATAAGCTTTTTCTTGATTGACAGCCACTATTCTTGAAAAGAGCTCATAACAGAATATCCTGAGATGGACTGGGCTGTGAATTAGAGTCAAGGAAGGGATGGCTAGTGAAGAAGACCCCTGCTGTATTAAGCCCTGTGTGGGAGGAAGTAAGGCCTAAGTAGGAGCAAGGGTTAAAATATTCCAGACATGGGTGGGAAGGTTTAAAATGTTTTGAAAAAGTTTTTTTTTTTTTTTTTTGATACTGGGGATTGAACTCAGGGGCTCTTAACCATTGAATCTTAACCCCAGCCCTTTTTGTATTTTATTTTGAGATAGGGTCTTGCTAAATTGTTTAGGGCCTCACTAAGTTTCTGAGGCTGGCTTTGAACCTGTGATTCTCCTGCCTTAGCCTCCCAAGCTGCTGAGATTACAGGTGCGCACCACCAGACCCCGCCAAGGATAAGGTATTTTTTGGGATAGTTTTATTGGGTAAAGATTCCAAGGAGTTATTAAGATGTAGCAATAATGAGAGAGAAAAGGACAGGAAACCTGCTTCTCTGAGCACAGGCTTTGTTCCAGGTTCTGTTCTATCTTTTATCTTGTTGGAAAGAAGGTCAACATTTTGGCAAAAGCAATAGAGCAATGCCCCACTTATCTGATTTTTGGCAATCGTGAACCTCTGGAACATAAAAACCGTGTTCCTGGAAGTCCAATGGAAAGGGAATGGAGATCTCCAGCAGTGACTCTAAAGCTTTAGACCTATGGACCCCTGTGTTTTCTAGTCTGATAAATTATATTTGGTGTATTTTTTCAGGATAGGGAATCATAGCCTTTATTAAATTATTAAAGTGATCCAGGATCCCCCCAAAATGTAAAATTAAATCACTGGTTTCAACAGTGTTATCACTGTACTTTCTCATAGCATCACAGATTTTGAGTTCAGAAGACCTGGGAGATAGTAGTTTTTGGTAATTATCCCTTAGGTGCCCCAGTGGGAGACCACACAGCATGGGTCTGAACTTCTAGGGAGGGCTTTTATTGAGTCACAAGGCAACATGCTGCATTGCCGAACAGCTCTACTTTTAGAATTATTTCCTTATGTTGAGTGGAATTCTGAACCCTGTGTCATTTACTGACTATTCCTAGTTTGTCCTAAGGTCCCCAAACAAATCAGCATGAAAGATTATAGAAGATGATCATAAAATTTGAACCCATGTTTCTCCTGAGGCTTTTAACTTTTCAGGGTAATGGTCTATGGTACCTTCAATAGGTTTTTAGAGTGGGATTTGGTTCCCTGTTCTTCACCATGTTGAGCACCACTTTGTTATTGTTTTTAGCAAGGAGCTGTGGCTATCTGTTTAATCTGCTCTGCCCAGTGCTTCTGGGAATAGCACTTTCCCACGTAGCCATGTAGTGCATCCTGCTCCGTTGGCTTTGAGTGAGTGGATGGGGTGGGTATTGGATGTAAGCTGGGAAGAGAGTGCCTGATGGTCCAGTATATAGTGCCTCCTTCACCCCATGTAGAGCACGCGCCTGAGACTCTCAGGCCCTCTTATGGTGGCTTTCTTTCTTTCCATGGCACCTATTACTACTTCATGCACCAAGTTATTAGTTTTACTGGAAGGAAGCAAAAGAGAAGTAAGTTCCACACAGTGGGGCCTGTGCCTGCCTGAACTGTTGTGCTTCTCACATCAGAGCCGTGCCCAGCACAGAGCAGGCCTCCCTCCACCCTCACCGGGATGTGTGAGAATGATTGGCAGAGGAGCTGAGAGGGAGCTCAGGCACTGTCAGCAGTCTTTCCAGCTCCTGCAGAGAAGCCACCCCCAGGGGCTAAGAGGAACTTGTCAAGAGGTTGGAGATAAGAGAAGGAGAAAACCTTGGCAGCCTTCAAGTCCCTGGTTCCTATCGTCCTGTCCGTCTCACAGTAACGGGCTTTGTCTGTGGCCTCGTGAATTCTCGTTGGCTTTTCTCGTTGGCTTTCATTCACTTCTGTTCAGTGTTTGATAGTACACAATTGTATGTGGCTATGGCAGCTCAGTGAGATTGTCATCTCTTATTCTTGACACTGCAGTGAAGCTTTTAAGGAAGATTTTTGTGTTCTGATAGGTACTTTCCTAGTTTTTTTTTTAAACTTTCTGAACTTGGGCTGGGGTTGTGGCTCAGCAGTAGAGCGCTCGCCTAGCACATGCAGGGCCCTGGTTTTGATCCTCAGCACCACATAACAATAAATAAAATAAAGGTATTGTGTCCAATTACAATAAAAATAAATATTTTGTTAAAAAAACTTTCTGAAACTTAGTGTTTAATATTAGTTTGAGATAAAAAACATTGCATCTTGTCTAGATGGTCCTCTTCTATTCATATGTTATTTCTCCAAATGGATGTATTGGTCTTTGAAACTTGAAAATTACATCCTTTTTTGTTCACTGTATCAGAGAATCTGATAAAACATTTCTGCTACAGGTACAGAGGGGCCAGGTGTCAGCATCTCTGAAGAGAGACAAAGTGTCACCGAAAATTCTGGGACAACCATTGTTTACAATCCTTACGCCGCCCTTTCCATAGAGCAGCAGAGGCAGAAGCTGCCCGTGTTCAAGGTATGGCAAGTCTGGGCTGCTTCGGGGGTGTGCTGAAGCTTTGTAGTTGGCACCAAAAGACACTGTGCCCTAACTCTTAATGTTCTTTGAACACAGTGAGCTAGAGGAGCCCAAATCCCAAGGGAACACTTTAAAAAACTTGTGTGAATTAACTGTATAAATCCTAAATGTTCTTAAGATTGAAAGAATTGGAAAGTTGTTTCTTTTCGCTTTCATTGCTTTCAATCATGGATGATTTCAAACATACAAAAAAATAAACAGAATAACTCAGCAAATGTCTATACACTCAGCTTTAACATATCACAAATTGCTTTCTTTTTAAAGATATATTCCTTTAAATAAGATTAATTGGGGGCTAGGGTTGTAACTCAGTTGGTAGAGTGCTCGCCTCACATGCACAAGGCCCTGGGTTCAATCTCCAGCACAACAACAACAAAATGATTAATTGGGAGTTCAAGGTTGTTTCAGTTTACAAGGTTGGTCAGGACCCTAGCTTCAGCCAGGACAGTGATAGATTTCAGCTTGGTCACTGTGTGTGCATGTCCTAGCACTTGACCGAGTGCAAATAAAATCCACACATGCTCAGCTCACAGGAGACCAAAGTATAAATAAGTATGAGTTCAGAATGTGTTCTAATGGTGAGCTGTAGTTCTCTAGTACACGGTTGATGGATACTCTTACTCCCTGTTGGCAAGTCCACATGGGAAGCCCAGTTGTAATCAGAAAGTAGGCTGAGTCAAAGGTGGGTTTGATACAATTGGAGAATATTTATTTCCTACAGTCTCTGATGAATGGTGAAGGATTGTCTCCTTGTAGGATGCTTCTGGAATGGCCCCTGAGCTGGCATGGCCAGCAGCACCCATGTCTCTCTCCTGAATAGAGCTGGATGAAAGATGCCAAGTTCTTACACTTAGGGAGTCCCTTTGTCTAGACTGTGCTGGTAATTCCTCTTCTGTTAATATATTCTTTCTCCAAATGGATATGGAACCACAGCCTTCTAAATTTAGCAAAGTTGCCTGGATTGGAGTTTTCTGTGACCCCAAACATTTTAGTCAATTATGAACTGACAGTCTCTAGGTTTCTTCTCAGGTGACTAACTTGATCTATTACATGTGAACATTAATAATTTTGACCCTCAGGTGATGAGGTAGGTTCACTGTTGCTTCCTCACTGTGGAGGGTCACTTGTTTTTAGCCACAATGAAGTCTCTAGGCTCTTGAGTAGACTTCAGGGTTCCAACCCACATTCACCATTTGTGTGCTGTGTGACGTTGTTTCACCTTGTTGAGCTTTTGTTTTCTTACCTATGATGTGGGACTAATGGCAGCACCTATCTCATAGGGTTGTTTCGGGGACCATGAGATAACCCATGCAGAGTGTCTGGTAAGATGCTGCCTGACAAGTAATAAATGCTCCAGTTCAAGGAAATTACTGTTTATTAGGTACTCAAATTTTGGCTTTTTCTTGGCTGTTCTTCATTCTGTGTTACATGAGATAAAATAAATGTAAAAATGTTAAAACAATGAAAACAGGTTAGCTGTATTGATAGAATTAAAATGAACTTTCAATCCTCCTGCCTCAGCTTCCCAAGTTGCTGTGGTTACAGGGATGTGCCACCACAGCTGGCTTGCCTTAGCTGCCTTCTGTTGGCTGGTGTTCTCTTGGGGTCCCGGACACTGCTATGCAAAGTTGTTCTTGTTATTTTATTCCTGTCAGCACTTCCTTTTTTTTTTGGTACCAGGGATTGAACCCAGGGACACTTAAGCACATCCCCAGCCCATTTTATATTTTATTCAGAGACAGGTCAGCCCTAAGTTGCTGAGGTTGGCTTTGAACTCAAAATCCTCCTCCCTCAGCCTCTGGAGCCGCTGGGATTATAGGTGTGCACCACTACACCCAGCCCAGCTCTCCCATTCTGAAGTTCAGTCCCGTCCTCCTTTCCAGCGCTCCTTGGTTTCACTAAGCCTGGTGGTGTTACTGATGTTCTATCAGTGTCTAGACCAGAAACCTTTTTGTTATCTCTCAAATGTCAGGGTTCTTTGTCTGCAGTGCTTCTGTGATCCCTTAAGCCTGTAGAATATGAAGCTGGAATTATAGCCTTTGGTTTCTTCACATCCAAATCAGCCTTGTTGCCAATTTTCTCAAAGTTCTTGAGCCCACACTGCCTCTTAGGTGAGCCCACACTGCCTCTTAGGTAGTCCAGACCCTTTAGCCCTAAGTACACCTCTCCCAGCTCATTTCCAAATCAAACCTGAGCTCTTCCTAGCCCCTCTAATAGAGTTTGCCTAGTTTGTTTCCATCTTTCCCTGGCTTTTGTCATTTGTTTTTTTTGTAGAATGCCTTGTCTGTTGCTCTATCTGTATTCAAATTGTCTTTCAAATTTCCTTTACTCTCATGCATCCATCTGTTCATAGGTTCATGTCAATTTGCCATTTACAAAATAACTGTAAAGAACTCAAAGCTTTCCTCTTCCCCACCCGACGTGAAAGGAAGCACAAAGTCTAGGCATTCAAGAAGAAAACATCTACTGAAAGTCATTAGACCACCTGCAGCTGACTCTCCTTTGGGTGTGTGCATAAATACAGATTCCTAGGGCCCACCCAGCCTTAGTGACACCCTGGTGATAGGACTAGGAATCTTCATGTTAAACAAATGTCCTTGAAGATTTTCACATGAAGACTTGAGGACTACATATCTAAATCCCAGATAATGCCAAATTCAAAAGCCCAGAATAGCCACCTCCTTATTTGCTAGTTAGAGACTGGCAGCATCCCAGCTCTTGTCCTTTCCAAACACCTTGTTGGTGTGGCAACAGATGAGCTGAGCAGTGATCAGAAGAAAGAACATGAGGCAGATTTTCCTTCATTCCCTTCATTAGCTTCTAGACCATCACTGTGTATCAGCTGTGTGCAGAAATACCTTCTGAGGTCAAATAGAAGATGTCAGAATGACTTGTGGCCTTTTTTTCCCCCCTGTGGTGCTGGGGATTGAACCCAGGGCCTTATTCAAGCGAGACAAGCACCTTACCAACTGAGCTATATCCCCAACCCGACTTGTGGCTTTTTCAATGGTAAAACGAGTGTTTCTGCTCACACTGACTAGGTAAAAGAAATCTATATGTTGAAAAAATAAATGTAACTTTTGGATGCTTTATTGTGAACTTGGACTTAGAGATAGACTTGAAAACATTTTACGTATTATTTTTTTCTGGAACTTTTTCTTTCTTTTCTTTTTCTTTTTTTTTTTTGGTGGTATAAGCCATACACGTTCTACACAAGCACTCTCCCACTGAGCCATGTCCCTAGTCCTTTTTCTGGGACTTTTTACAAATAAATAAATGAAAAACTTTTTTTTTTTTTTTTTTGCTATCATAAGCAATGCACTTTATTTTTTAATTTTTTTGAAATCATAGATAAGAAATTGATCCCCACCCTCCCATATTTCTAAAACTTTTCAGTTGTGTAGCACATATGTGTTGTATAGAATTCTGAAATCTCCTTCACATCCTGTTCCTTATCTACCCTTTTTTCTCTCCTTAGAGACAGAACAGTTTAGTTTCTTGTTTTATTTTTTTTTCCAGAGAAAAACCTGTGTATAAATAAGTATATTTGAATTTATCCTTTATTTATTTAAAAAAAATTTTTTTTGTAGTTATAGATGAACAGAAAGCCTTTATTTTATTTGTTTTTTTATTTTTATATAGTGCTGAGGATTGAACCTAGTGCCTCGTGCGTGCTAGGTAAGCACTCTGCCACTGAGCTACAGCCCCAGCTTCTATCTATTATTTAAAAATACAAGTACTAATATATTATTTACATTTTTCTATACGTTGCTTACTTTCCTTAATGTATTCTGCAGATTGTTCTGTATTTGTATAAATAGAGATTTAATCTTTTTAACAACTGAATTAATCCATCATTAGAGTGTTTCATAACTGATCAAATACCTATTGTTGAACATTAAACTGTTTGGATTTTTGGCTGTTATAAACAATTTTGCAGTGAGTTAGTTTGTACATGTATCTTTGTGTACATGCATTAGTATGTTCATAGGGAAAATCTTGAGTCAAAGAGTTGGTACATTTTCTATTTTGATAAGTATTACCCTTGGAGCTGTGTCAGCTCATATTGACACTAATGGTACCTGAGAATTGGAAATACGTTTTGATAGTTATTTTTAAAATTTACTTTCTTTTAGCAACAGCTTATTTCACAATGTTTAAATATTTTTGTTTAGGTCTTTTGAGATAACATATGGCTACTTACAATGTATAGTTTTTCTTTTCCAGCTTAGGAATCATATTTTATACTTGATAGAAAACTACCAGACAGTGGTGATTGTTGGAGAAACAGGATGTGGGAAAAGCACACAGATTCCTCAGGTGAGTACATACTTGGTACATCTTTCCACAGGTTTGCCTGGAAGCGACTTAAGAACTGTCTTTACTATCATTTGCGTTTTTAAGGTCTCTTGGGAAGTGCTCACCTCTCAATTAAGAAATACTCACTTCAAATATTTTTCATTGAACATTTAGAGCTTATCGTTTCTTTGGTTAATACCAGAGTTATTAGTTGTCTTTAATTTGTTATAATTCCAAAATAATAATGGAATAACCCTTTTCTGAAAAGATAAATGGGATTTATTTAAGCTGGTGTCAGCAAACCATAGCCCAGTGCTTGTTTTTGTAAATAAAGCTTCCTTGACAAGCAGCCACACTTGATGAGGTATTCCCATGGCTTCTCTCATGCTATAGTACAGAGTTGAGCAGTTGCTACAGAGGCCCTAAGACTGTCAAAGCCTAAAAATGTGTTATGTGGCCCTCGACAGAAAATGCTTGCTGATCCTGCAACATGGCAGTCTATCGTAGGTTGTTCTGTGGTTGACTTTTCCTTCCTACTGTTGATTTCAGTCAGGTTGTTTCCAGTTTCTAGTTGTAATGACCAATGTTCTGAGGAGCACTCTGTTTCTTATTTTTGTTAGACATGTGCATGTTTCTGTTGGTTTATACAGAGTAGCCATAATGGATCATATGTTCCACTTTAGTAAACAATGTCTACCAGTGTTTCAAAGTGATGTCCTTATAGGTTTTATGAAAATAACCAGCAGAGCTATAGGAACATTTTTAAAATTCAGACTTAACATGACTGAGAGGCCAGAGGAGGCAAGCCACAAAGGGCTATTGCACTGAGAAAGAGTGGTAATGAGATCCTCTGGGGATAGGAATGAGAGCAGTCTTAGAGTTGGGGGCTCTAGTCATTAGAAACTGGTAGATATGTGTGATGACAAAGGGAGGAATAGAGTTGGAGGTTGACTAGCCAAGCCTTTCTGCTTGGAGAACAGTGGTGGTGTTAAATGAGATAGAAAAACAAAGAGGAAATTGGTTTGGGGAAAACTGATGGTTGATTAAACAGACCCAGGTTTTCTTATGTCATTGATGATCTTTGATGACATTATTAGCAGGAAAGTTAGATTGGGAGTCTGAAGCCTGGCAGAGGTCAGACACAAAAGATGTGGACCTGCAGACCATCCACGTATTGATAAAACTTCCTGATACATGCAGGAACGAAAGAGAACAGAAAGAGTTGAGGAAAGAATCAAAGACAAAGCCTCGGGAGCACTAACATTTAGCGTCAGGAGCAGACAGGGGACAAGTGGCCTGAAGGAGGTGGCAAAGGAATCAGTAGAACCTCTGTAGTCAGAGAAAGCAGAGGAAGAGGAGGGAGTTTCAGGAGGTGAGTGGCCAGGGAACAGGAGCCCTGATTCAGTCCTGGGTTCTTAATATTGGGGGATCCAGTCCTGGGGAGTGGGGTGGGAGGAAGAGGAGGAGAAGGGTAGTTCACAGGGAAGGCAAGGAAGCAGAAGCAGCAGCTATGGTAGAGTTTTACAGGTGGGAGAGTTTTCGGGGAAGCCCATGGACATCCCTTTGCATTTTTGAATGTGCTGATGGTGTGTTACTGATCGCTTGGTTCAGACTTGTGGACTTGTTTGTATCTGAATGGTTCTTAATCTTTGTCTGCTCTCCTACCTACCTCATTCTGGTTAATGGGTTTGGGATGGGGTCCAGAACATAGGAGATATATATATTTTAGTTGTAGGTGGACACAATGGCTTTATTTTTATTCACTTATTTTTATGTGGTCCTGAGGATTGAACCCAGTGCTAGGCTAACCTCTGCCACTGACCCACAACCCCAGCCCCAGATACAGGCTTTTTAAAAAGTTCCCTAGGAAATCTAATGTGCAGCTGGGGAAAGGTAGGCAGAGGAGAATGACTTAGTGGAGAAAGGACAGTTTGAGAAGCAGGACAGCAGAGGGGATGGTAGCCTGGAGGCGGAGGGGTGTGCCTTCATAGAGCCCAGCTAGTTACTTGTAAGGGCCAGGTCAAATTTCTGAGAGGTCTTTTAATTTTTTTTTTTTTTTTGTAATTGTAGATGGACAGCATGCCTTTATTTTATTTTATTTTTTTTATTTTTATGTGGTGCTGAGGATCGAATCCAGTGCCTCATGCATGCTAGGCAAGTGCTCTACCACTGAGCTATAGCACCCCCTCCCCCTGCCAGAGGTCTTTAGTTAGTAATAATAATAAGTAATTATAGTAATAGTGCTACATTACAAATGTGTGTGAGCAGTTTACAAATATTTGTCTATTTAATCCTTGATGATGTGGCAACTATTATTATCACCTTTTTATAGAAGAGAACATTGTAGAGAGGTTGGGGAATATAGACTAGAGCTAAAAGGCCACATGAGATCCAGTAATTTTAGTGTGTTTTGGAATTAGTCTGTATTATTATTTGTCAGCGTAAACTATGTTATGGTAACAAAGAACCTGAAAATCTCAGCAACTTAAAACACAAAGGTGTACTTCTTGCTCACACTATGTGATCATCTTGGCTTTGAGCTGTTGCATGTCATCCCGGGGACCCAGACTGATGGCATAGCTCTTAGGTAGGACTTGTTGGTCTTGTGGTACGAGGCACAGTCGTGAAATGGCTTCTAAAACCTCTGCCAGAAGTGGCCCTCCTGCTCACATTTCATGGGTCAAAGCAAGTTGCACAGCTAGGCCTGATAGCAGCAGGGTAGCTATGCACATAACCCTCCAAGGAATGGATAGCAGAGATTAGGATCAATACAGTACACACAGTGTTCTGGTCATTTCCCCCAGCAAGGCTTAGCTGCTAGGGATCAGAGAGGGCCTGCTGAGGGGCTGAGTCCAGGGAAAGAGGGCTGAGGATTCAGACTGGGCAATGTGACAGCAAACTCACAAGGCTTATTTTTTATATTTTCATTGTTTTTTGAATATTTAATAGTTTTATATGGTTTAAAAATCCAAAAAAGCCTGAAAGAATATAAAAAGAAAAGATTTCCCTACTGCCCTACTTTCTGATACTCTTTTCTTTTGTGCAGATGCAACCAATTTTATCAGTTTCTTGCCTTGGGATTTCATATGCATCTACAGAGAAATGAATATGAATATTCATTCATATAAATATATACATATTCCCTTTTAAAAAATATGAATAGTAGCATGTGTACATGTTTTGATGTACCTTGTCTTTTTTCAGTTAATGCATCATTTTTCAGTTTCATAGATTCTATTATATGTACATAATTTATTTTACCAACACCCAGTTGGATCAATTTAGCACATATATCATTTTGCACGTTTGGGGTGTGTGTGTGTGTGTGTGTGTGTGTGTGTGTGTGTGTGTGTGTGTGTGTGTGTATGTATACACACATACATATATATATGATAAATATAGTTGATACAGAGTTACTGGCCCCAAGTGCATGTGCATTAGAATTTAATCATTTTCAGGAATTTTATTTTATTGTAAATACTTTTTTTTGATAGGAAATACATGGTAAAAATTTGAAAAGTATAAAGTAATAAATGATGAAAAGTGAGTCTCCTAAGCTGTGTTGGTGATAGATTATATTATTGGTTCAAATGTCTGCCACTTCTGTGGATGGCTCTTTCCTTTTCTCCTAGCCACTTAGTTTCCCTTCTCTGAGGCAGTCACTGTCTTCAGCTTATCATGAACTAAGTTTGAGTTATGGCCTAGGAAAAATGAAAAGGCCAAGGAACCAGAGGTAAAGTGAGCATTTTTTTGTAAATAAACTGTTTTGCCAGATTTATGCAGTATCTTTCCTTGGGAAAGTGCAACATACTTAAGCACCAAACACCAGTTTTAAAGCCGCACAAACTATATTTGGAAGCTAGATGGTATTTTTTGCTAGAATCTGTCAAAAACAATGGACTATGAAAACATGCTTTTCTTAGCCCATTTTTGTTAATACTTTTTTTCTTTTGTTCCACATTTTTTTTATTGGTGCATTGTACTTGTACATTATGGTGGGATTTGTTATTACATAGTCATACATGTACACGATGTAATAATGTAATTTGGCCAATATCAGTCAGCTGTGTTTTTTTTTTTTCCTAATTTGTTCTTGATGGAGTTCTTCCTAATTCCGTTCTTAACTAGAAGACTAGATTTGGTGATCCTTAAACAGTTTGTAGGAGCAAGATGGAATTCAGCCTTTGGTTTAGAAATCTCCCTCCATGACACCCACTGCCTCTTGATATCAGTATTATATTTTGCAGTCTTCAGCCTCTTCCTCTCAGCCATCTTTTTTTAATTAAAACATTTTTTCAATTGTAGATGGATATAATAACTTTATTTTATTTTTTAATTTTTATTTGGTACTGAGATTCGAACCCAGTGCCTCCCACGTGATAGCCAAGCACTACCATTGAGCTACAACCCCAGGCTTCAGCAGTCCCAAGCATGCAGTAGAAGTCTGGATCACATGGTGTATTGAAGTGGCAGCTTTAAGAAAAGAGTATTTATTTTTATGAAAATTTTGTTTCTTTTACTTAACCCCACTAAGAGATTAGCTGCATGCTTGTTTGAATTGATGTGGTAGAATGTGTCCTATTTATGTGTGAGGGCTTTGGTCTGCTGAGTTTCAGATTTGCTTCATGCATGTTTGAATTTGGGTGGTAGAATTGTATACTGGTTATGCGTCAGGGCTTTGGTCTGCTGAACTTGAATGTCAGCTCTTGAATTTTTATTTACTTCCTTGGACAAGTTATGTGACCTCTTTGTTCTCTCTCCTGTATGTTGTTGATGATAATGTCTTTTTTAAGGATTTGTTGTGAGGATTACAAGCAAGCTCCTGATAATTAGTAGGCTGTTCAGTGAATCTTAGCTATTATTATTATAGTTCTGATCTTGTATTTGTGTTGATTGGGGTGATTGGTAGTATTTTGTATATGTAATTAATATAAGAGAAAAACATTATTGGTTTTATGGCAGAACTCCCTCTCCCTACATTGTGTACAACATTTTATTTCTTACAGCCATTTTTTAAACTTTATTGTAACTAACTATAGACTAAGAGAAAAGTTACAAAAATAATATAGAATTCCCAGTGCCTTTCACCTCACTACTTGTACAGTAATCAAAAGCAGGACATAAACCTTGGCACAATACTAGTACTAGACTACAGAACTTACCCGAATCTCATTGGTTTTTCCCATTAGTGTTCTTTTGCAGTTCTGGGACCTCCCTTGCATTTGGTTGTTACTTTTCCCTTGTCTCCTCCAGTGTGTGATAGTTCTTCAGTTCCCTCATTGTCTTTTAAAGAATACTAGGAATTTATTTTTTAGAATGTCTCTTAGATTAGGTGTCTGTCCTGTTTTATCATGATGATTGGAAGAAACTTAGGCATTTTGGGCATGAATATCCCAGAAATGGTACTGTGTCCTTCTAGTGTATCATCAGGTTTTCAAGATGTTGATGAATCTCTTCACTGGTGATGTTAACCATGATCCTTTGTAAAGCTCCCATCTTTTCCTTTATAGTTGATAAATATCTTAGGGGAGATGGAAATATTCTGCTTCTCTTCAGACTTTAGCCTTCAGATTTTAGTGCCCCTCAGTGGATCTTTTTCTTTTTTTCTCTTTCCCTCTCCTTTTATTAAATGGGATCTTCTCTAAGAAAGAGCTGTCTCTTTCCATTCACTTGATATATATTAATGTGGATTCATGGATGTTTATTTTTTATCAGTTAAAATCCAATATGGTGATTATTTATTTTGTATTTTGTGGGTCAAATTGTTCAATGTTTGATCATTAAGAACTCCTTCAGTTTGGCTCCTGTTTTTCTTCTAAAAAAGGCTGCATCTTTTTTTCTTTCTTTCTTTCTTTCTTTCTTTTTTTTTTTTTTTTTTGTTACTAGTACCCAGGGGCACTGTACCTCTGAGCTAGTCAGTTTTTTTAAAAAAATATTTTTAGTTGTAGATGGACATAATACTTTTATTTTATTTTATTTATTTATTTATTTATTTTTATGTGGTACTGAGGATTGAACCCAGTGCCTCCTACATGCTAGGCAAGTGCTCTACCACTGAGCTACAACTCCACCTCCTCCCCAGCCATTTTTATTTTTTATCTTGACACTGGGTCTTGCTAAGGATTTGTTGTGAGGATTACACAGCAAGCTCCTGATACTTAGTAGGCTGCTCATTATAATATACAAATAAAATAGTTTTGGATTGCTAACTCATACCTCTATTTGGTTATTTACCAACATTTAACTAGATTATACCATTTATGTCTAGTTCTTTTTGTCTTTAACATTTAAGTGTCCAGTGAAGATACCATACTTACTTAAGTTAGTTATTTTTTCTACACCTCCTTCAGTGTAGTTTTGTTACTCATTTGTAATGCAGAAAGGGTCATTGTTTGTCTCTTATTTCCCTGCGCATCCTTATTGGTTTTGTTTGTTTCTGGGTATTGGAAAACAATATGAAACGTGACTATGGTTCTATGAATCAGAGCTACACAAAGTGATCCGTCAGAGACTGTTGCTGCTTCTTCATCCCTGTTACCCTATTGCCATTTCCCCTCTTTCTGCCCCTTTGCCACCCAGCCCTATAGACAGCCATTCCCTTTAGTGTCTATATTATCTTTTTGTTATTTCTTTTGAACCAGTGAGCACATAATGCAATAGTAATCATATTGTTTTTTCTATTTTTGAAGGACTATATATTTGTTGTAAAACAGACATTATAAAAATATTAACTGGCAACCACAGTTATCCATATAGAATTTTAAGTGCTTATAATCCAATAAATTCATAAATAAATCATAAGTACATTTAAACAAATTTTATATATGCTAGTGTAATCTAATGGCATATATTTATGTATAATTGTAAATAACTAGTTTTATTTGATTAAAATTTGTTACATTGTTATTTATATTGAGCTGTCTCTGCATAGCTTAAAATTTTTTTTTTTACAGGTTTAGTACTATTTTGGGTGACTCAGGGATAGTTTTTTTTTTTTCCCCTTGAGGCAGCTATAATATGTGGAAATTTTGCAGGACTGGGGCATCTGAATACTTAATTGGTTCTTTGGTTTATCAGCTTTGATGTGAACTTAAGCTATTGCTTAATATTATCAAGATCCATCATTTGTAAAATAATCCCCAAAGTTTTCCTGGTTATTCCTGTGCAGTGATTTTAACACAAAGCAGGGTCATCATCTTGGGGAGGTCCTGTCTGGAAAAGTGGTGTCAGATGTGTAGTGAGATGTTATTCTGCTTGCAGTACCTGGCGGAAGCTGGCTGGACAGCCGAAGGAAGAGTGGTTGGCATTACCCAGCCTCGGAGAGTGGCTGCTGTTACGGTGAGGTTCTTTCCGGCTGTGCTTTCTATTTCCCTATTAGTATTATTATTATTTACTTATTTCCTAAAAACTACAAATGAATACAAGTTGCTCCTTAAGAATTTAGGACTTAAAAAAGGACCATAACTTGGATATTTTTGTAAAATTGGTACTATACATTATGAGCAATTTAAGTAATAAAGTACTGAAAAAGTAAAAAAGAAAAATAATTTTTTTAGAGAATTTTTTAATATTTATTTTTCAGTTTTTATTTTTATTTTAATCTTTGTTTTATTTTTATGTGATGCTGAGGATTGAACCCATGCCCTGCGCATGCCAGGTGAGCGCGTTACCGCTTGAGCCATCTCCCCAGCTCAGAAAAAGAATTTTTTATAAAAAAATTTTTAAAAAATTTTGGTACTGGTAGTTAGGCATGGTGGCGCATGCCTGTAATCCCAGTGGCTCAGGAGGCTGAGACACAGGAGAATCACAAGTTCAAAGCCAGCTTCAGCAACAGTGAGGTGAGGTGCTAAGCAACTCAGTGAGGCCCTGTCTCTAAGTAAAATACAAAATAGGGATTGAGATGTGGCTTAGTGGTCAAGTACCCCTGAGTTCAATTCCCGGTACCAAAAAAAAAAAAAAAAAGTGTGGCTAGTACAATATAGGAATTTTTTTAAAAAAAAATTGTTACTGGGGATTGGACACAGGGGTGCTTTACCACTGAAGTATATCCCCAACCCTTTTTATTTATTTATTTATTTATTTTTGCTTAGGGCCTTGCTAGATTGTGGAGTTTGGCCTTGAACTTGGGATCCTCCTGCCTTAGCCTCCTGAGTATTAGGATTACAGTTTTGTGCTGTTGTGCCCAGCCATATATATATATTTTTTGAATGGCTACTATTTTATTTTAATGGGGGTTCATTGAGATACAATTTATATACCACAAAAGTGTTCCCTTCTCAGTTGAGCATGGTGGCAGATGCCTGTAATCTCAGTGACATGGGAGGCCAAGGAAGGAGGATCACTAAGTGTGAAGTCTGCCTGGGTAATTTAATAGTGAGACCCTTTCTCAAAATAAAATAAAAAGGGCCAGAGTGTGGCTTAGTGGCAGAAGTCCTTCTGAGTTCAGTCTCCAGTTATACACACACACAACATACAAATCTCTTGTCATATGTACAGTTTGATAAGTTGTGACAAATTCATAGTCCTGTAACCCTGCAGTAGTTGTGACTGAGAACATTTCTAATGTCCCCAAATAATGCCCTTTGAACTACCATAGTTTTAAGAACCCTTCAGAGGAACCATAAAACCTCTAAATATCATGAGTGTGTATTTATGATATTTAATAAGGATATTTATATAAATGATATAACATAGTATTGCATCTTAGACAATTGAATGCATTTCTCCAAAATGAAATTTACTTTCTTTCAGTCATGCCATCATTTCCAACCAAATAATTTTAAAAAACCAAACCAAACCAAAGAAAACAAACAAACCAAAATCTTAGCACCTAGCAAAAGTATTGTGAACGTTTGTCAATTCATTCTAAGATTCTGTTCAAGATAAAGATGAGTGGTAGTCTGTTTGGACAGAAATAATTTTTATAAAAATGGGATTATGAACATAAGACTTCTTGTGTTGAATTTAACAAAAAAGGAAACTAAAGTGAAATAGGAGCAGTTCCTGAACTGTAGGTACATGTTTATTCAGCATAAGAAAGTTTATTAAGACTTCAGTAGTTTAAAAAAGAATGATTAAGAACTTCATATTACTTATTTTTCAAGCTATACATTATAGTTTTTCTTTTATGAAAGAAGAGGAAATTAACACACATTCATCATCTGCCTTCTCTTCCCCCATTTGTAGATATAGCACTGTCATTTTCATTTCTTGATTTATAACTTATATTTTCTTAGTCATAATTCTTTCAGGTGTTTAATTCTAGTTTGAATGGATTGAATACTCATTGATAATTATTTTCCATGGTTTTGCCAACCCCAAATTGCTCATTTTTGCTGTATTTCTTGATTGGCTGAATTTTATCATTCAGTAATCATTTTTATATGCTTGATCTTGATGTAAAAAAAAAGTGTCCCCCCCCCCCCCCCCCCCCCCGTGCTGGGGATGCTATGGGGCTCACGCACGCTAGGCAGGCTCTCTACCACGAAGCTACGGCCTCAGTCCCAGTAGAAAATTCTTGATTTGCACTCTACCTGGCAATTATGCAGACTTTGATCCACTGACTATCAGTGGGGAGGAACTCTGAAGAGAAATCTGAGATCTAGAGGGCTTTTTCAACCTACCTTCTTGGCTTGTCTTACCAAATGCTTGCAAGATTCCTTTTCCATGAGGATATGCCTTGATGTTCATCATTTGGGCTCATTGCTTTTTAAAAATTTTTTCCTTCCCAGTACTGGGGATTGAACCTAGGGGTGCTCTACCACTGAGTACATCTCCAGCCCTTTTTATTTTGAGACGGGTCTTACCTTGAACATGCCATCCTCTTGCCTCAGGCTCCCAAGTAGCTGGGATTATAGGTGTGCTGTCTCAAATTTTTTTTTTTAAATATGGAAAAGCTCTTAATTTTTAGATTCAAATCTCCTTGATATCTGGGTATACTTTTCTGTTCCAGTTACTTTATTCTCTTTCTGAAAGCATTAGAAGTGTACTCCATTGTCTGTTTTTAATATTGACTACCGTGTCTGGAATCTGCTGCTCCCCTCTAGTTTTGTGGGGTTCTCCAAGCCTGTCCACAATGTTCATGATTTTTTTTTTAGTCAAAAGTATTCATTTTGATTCCTTTACATTTCTACCTCAGTCTCATAACTATATCTTTAAATTTTTTCTTTTTAGTGAAGAAGTGAATGAAAGGAGATACAAAATGTATTATGAGTTTTAAAATCTATAATGCTGCAAACATTAAAAAATCCAGAAAATAATTTTTTGATTGTTTTTTGGTGGTACTGGGGATTGAACATGGGGTGTTCCAACACTAAGCTGCATCCCCCAGCCCTTTTTATTTTTCATTTTGAGACAGGTTCTTGCTAAGTTGCTGAGGCTGGCCTTGAACTTGTGATCCTCCTGCCTCAGCCTCCTGAGTTGCTGGGATCACAGGTGTACCTGACTCCTCACAGCTTGAAATTTCCTTTAAACTGCTTTTTTTTTTTTTTTTTTTGCTTATGTTTTCTTCCCTTTATTCCTTCTTTCTTAGCTTTCATGCCCTAGGCTTGTGTTGGTACTTTTGTGATAAGTTCTTATCTTTGACTGTGGCCACTGGCTTCCTCAGCAGTGTGAGATTGTGCTAGGGTGGGTTTGGCCTCTCAGAGAGGCTTTTACCCTTTGCCGGGTGGGGATGAGAGATGAGGATCTGGAGCTGCACTCCTTCGTGACTTAAGAGGTCTTTATGGCTCAGGATGATATTCTAAGGGCTCTCTGATTTGGGATTTGATGCTTGTGTCCTGCCTGCCTGTCTTCTTCTCACCCTCTTCTTCCCTGTAATTCTTTAATGTCCACTTTGTGGACATTTCCTATATCTCCTGGGCCTGAGTGCTGCCACTTCTAGCAGGAGGATGTTCGGCCAGCCTTTTAAAGTGGTAAAAAAAGCTCTGTCATTAAGGAGGCTGGAAGTTCACTTTTGTGGTGAGGCCCAGGCCTTCCTTCTGGATGTGGATCTCACCGTGTTTGGCAGCTGTGTTTACTGTTTGGGCTTTTGGCTGGCTCCTTTCATTAAAGATGGGAGTTTTATCTTGTTTATGTGTTTATTCTTTTGTTGTTTTTTATTAACTTTAGGAGAGGACACTGGGACAAAAATACCTTTATTTTGGCATCCTTACCTGGATAAGAAATTCATTCTATTTCCCCAAGTTATTTTTACTATGTGTAGAATTTTAATTATTATTAATCCTTTCCTCCAAAGTCTGTTTTCTAATGCTCTTCTAGTTAAAAATTATAAAGATTTTGCTAGGAGTATGTGAATAAAATGGGAATAGGTTTGGAAACTCTACTGCAGTGACAGAGTTAAACTTTTATGTAACCAAAAGATGACTCAGTTACCTAAAAATCAGAGCAATTTTTCCTGTTTAGTGGTTTGGAATCCCAGCTCTTAATCACTTTGCATTTTGGCTCCAAATTTGTAGCCATGGATAACTTCCATGCAACCACATGCTTTCTCTTGAAAGAACAAAGAATGTATAAATTAACCATGTAGTATTAATAGAGCTGTCACATTTGTAATGCTGCATCTCAGAAAGTACTTTGTGTGCAGACTGAAATCTGAAAAGAAGCTCAGAGCCTGAGAACAGATTGCATAAGCCGGGCTTGGTCTCAGTGAGAGGCAATTAATGAACATGCTCACTGGCCTTACTTGTGCTAGGTTTGACTTGACTCCCTCATTTGTAGGTCTGAGGGTATCTACTTTACCTCCTGGGCTGTGTGAAAGCTCAGAGCCTGTCACTTGCCATGTAGAAGGTGCTCGGTGATTGGGTTTTCTTTTTCTTTTTTTTTTTTTTTCCCCTCTTTATCTGTTTGGGTTGTCAAGAATATGGTATTTGTCTATTCCAGTTGATGAAGTTATTGGGAGCAGAACATAAACAATGGGGGTAAAAATCTGTTAAAAAGCCAATAGATGGCTAGGCTTAGTGGCACATACCTGTAATCCCAGCGACTTGGGAGGCCGAGGCAGGAGGATCATAAGCTTGAGGCCAGCCTCAGCAATTTAGGCCCTAAGCAACTTAGTGAGACCCTATGAAAAGGGCTGGGGATGTGGTTCAGTGGTAAAGTGCCCCTGGGTTAAATCCCCAGTAAATGCGACCACACTCCCCCCCCCCCAAAAAAAAGCCAATAGAATATAACCCTGTATGATTAATAAACGATGAAATTTAAAAGAAGTTTGAAAAGAAAAGCATTTTTTAAAAGGCAAATGTATACAAATAATGAAATAACAAGAATTAACAAGTTTGGCTTTGTTTTATAGGCCCATAAAATGATGTTTTAAAGAAGAAGATTGGTTTACTTCTTATTTTTATGAACCTGTTTCCTCTCAGGCCCCTAGTGACTCTATGCACACATTCTCTGTTCATTTTCTGGTATTTATAATAGGACAGTGTGCAGTGTTAAAGTGAAACATAACAGAAGTGTTTGGTGAAAAGCTGGTTCTGGGGAAACAGAACCTCCAGAGGTAGGGCAGTGCAGGGTGCATTTCTGGTTTCATAAGATGATTGGACAGCTACGTGGGGCAGACCAGCTGCTCGATGATTGATTGTGTATTGGCCTGCCAGAGCTGTAATTTCAAGTCACCAGACCAGGCAGAGCCACTTCTGATCCTCATTTGCTCTTCAGTTTCTTAAACAATGATGGGCAGATAATGCTGGGTGTGTGTGGTGCTGGGAGCGAGTGCAGGGAGCCTCTGCTCCTGAGCCTGGGGCTCCCGGGGGCCTAAAGGCTGAGTCAGTTCTGCCGCAGGACACCTCCTATGGCAGCCACATTCCACTCTAGGCCGCAGGAAGTACGGGGTGCGGGCACTTTACCTGTGGAGGCCAGCTGAATGCCTGCCTCACCTGGGTGGTGGTTGTGCCAGGTGCTGGGGCCTCTGTTCACATGCTTCCCTTTGGCTCTCAGGTAGCTTACGTAATAGGTTTTAATTTCTTTTAAATTAAGAAGCATTATTGATTTTTTAAAAAAATTTTTGTTTATTTTTGAGAAAAATTCTTCCTGAGTTGTCCAGGATGGCCTCAAACTTGTGATTCTCTTCACATTAGCCTCCTCAGTATCTGGTATTACAGGCAGGAGCCACTGGGCATGGCTTATGCTTATTTACTGTTTCAAATATTTTCTATTATTCAGTTAATAACCTTTGAGTAGCCTTCTTGGGGGATAATTCAGAGATTTTGCTTGTTGGATTTTTTATATTTTCCCCTATACTATTTTTTTAAATTATATATCAGTGGGTGAAATTCTTTCTATAGTTTGTGGTTTCATAATCTATTATTCTTTTTGCCTTCTTCTTTTACTTTATTGTGCTGACTTGGATCTTTCTTAACCATCTCATTCACTTGTTTGCCCTTTTTTAAAGACCTGCATTCTTCATTTCCCCTTTCAGAGGTCTTGGTAGTTGTGATACTATTGAGAATTGTTTAGGTGTCTGGCTTTTTTGGCCTCCAAAGAGAAAATGAACCTTACCCAGTATTGAAGCTGATCATTCTGGTTCTCCTGCTTTCACATTCAGGGGAAGGTGCTTTATTTTAAGGAATGGAGACATGAAAAGTTGTCTCTGATTGATGTGCTTTTTCTTAAGGAGCAGGGCAAATCTTATCATTTCTTTTGCTTCAAAATTTAGAAATGAATGTTCTTTAAATTTGGCCATAAAATTTAGAGATGAGTTTGTGGGTTAGCTTGTCTCAAATAACTATAGTGTATCTATGTATTTTTTTTCTCAGTGGCTTAAATCTTTTTAATTTTATTGGTAATTTCTTTGTAATTTATTTACTTATATGCAGTGCTGGGATTGAACCCAGGGTCTTACACGTGTTAGACAAGTGCTCTTCCACTGAACTACACACCCCCAGCCTTATTTCTTTGATTTTGATCTGTAACATCTTTATATGATTTCATTTTCAGTTTGTATGCTTTTATAAGTGGCCCCAAGACCATGGCAGGATGAAATGAGGTATATAAATATGTCAGTAAATTATAGAAGCTTTCATACTTGTTTTCTAACGTCCTGCCCCTTTACTTCTCATTTTCCATGGCATTCACATTCTGTTTAATAAATGACGTTTAGATTTCCAGCATATGTGCTCCGTGCAGTAATTTCTATGTCTCTATTTTCAGCATGATCTTTCTTCCCAAAGGTTGCAGGGCGAGTAGCTGAGGAGAGGGGAGCAGTGCTGGGCCACGAGGTGGGCTACTGCATCCGCTTTGACGACTGCACCGACCCGCTGGCCACAAGAATCAAGGTGAAGTGTGCAAGCTGCTTTTCCAGTATCACTGAGGAGGAAGAGTAACTGGGGGGAGTTAAAAGCCTGCAGCCCTGGCTGCTGTACAGGACGCAGAAGCCGGGCAGAAAGTATAGGAAATCATCCTGGCCCCAGGGACTTTAGTCTGCTGGGAATTACAGAGCTCTGATGAAATGTTCTCGAATCTTACTCAGAAAGGAACTCAGAAGTAAAGTTTAGCCCTTGGCCTCCAGATGAAGAGGTTGAGTGTGGGAGATCAACCTTGCACGTGACGGAGTCACACTCCCCACCTGGGTGCTGAGGCATTCAGTCACAGAAATGTGGCAGAGCTTTCCCCACCCTTTTTGGGTTCAAGGGACAGTGTCTTGTGCATGGGTGTGTCTTGCTACAGCCCCATGGGTGAAGCTGTGCTCACCTGTTCCTTTGTAATATAATACCCCTTGCCCTGTTTAGGATAGAATCTTCCATGGAAGTGCCTTGTGTGTGTCCCCTTCTCTTACTGTGCCCTTGGGTGTGGCCTACCCAGATGTCAGTCAACCTGCTGACAGTGGACATCATGAAGCTAGACTCAGCCCCCTGAAACCTGACCCCTTGCCTCATTTGAATAGCTTCTTCTCAATAAAATGGGTCAGCACGTGTTCTCTCTCTTCCTGTGGACCCTTAAGGTCAGAGGAGCCGTCACAGCGGCCCCAATGAAAAAGGTATTTGTGTCTCTTGTGTGGTTATTTTGTGCAGCCCAGTTAGCCCAGTTCAACTGGAGTGAACCATGAGCCTTTTAGTCACAAGAATAGAAACCCAGCAGTTGAGGGCAGGGGAGACTAAATGACTTGCCTGTCGGTGACAGCACTGGGACTCAAAGTTATCTTTTCTTATGTCTGTTTTATTTTTTTCCACTGACTTGCATTGCTATCTAAGTACAGAAACAGGTCTGTTTAAGAGTTAAAAATGGACAAGGTAGTATAAACTGATAAAGTGCAGAATTCATAGATGATGTTTGCACTAGTTAGATCTTTCCTATTTTGTATGATAATGGATTTTATCTGTGTGTTATTTGGCCTAGTTGTTAACATCAAAATAATTAATATCAGTAGTAAATATTGTATAATCAACTCAGCAGGGGTCTACTGTGTGCCATTATGCTGGAATCAAAGTCTAATCAGATAATGCAATAAAACAGTGAACAAATGCTTTGATGAGATGAAGATTGGTTATTAAAATTTTGGTTACCTCTCAGTTTGCAACAGAGAAAAATTGAAAATAATTAGATGAACTAAATGGACAATGCAGTGATTTATAAAAATATGGCTCTTGTTTTTCAAACTTCTGTATTTTGTCACCACTTACTCGTGTCTTTTGCTAGGTAAAGGGAATATTCTGTAGCATAAAATACATTTAAACTAGCTAATTTTCAGTGGATCACTAACCATATGATTCTTCTTGAATCCTTCATGAGAAGCTTTTCGTATTTCATTTGACCATCACTCCAGGGCACTTGATTCTGGTGCTTTTTCATTGGTGGCAAGTTCTTACTTCCATTCCTGTGAGTGTGTGAGGCAGGTGGTTCAGATCATGCAGACCACGGTGGAAATGCGACCTGCTCTTAAACCAAAACAAGAAAAGCAAGCATACACAGCACACAGGGAGATAGATGCTTGGTCTTGTTAACATACCATATGTGTTTGGGATGAGACTAACAACATCCAGTTATTACTGCACATTTCAAAAGTATTTCATAAACACTTATAGGTAGTAGAACTGATGTTTTTAAGCACTGTGCGTTAGTCCTGTGCTAAACACTCTGCTTGTACCATCTCATTAGTTCATTACTTCATTTAAAAACGAGGAATCAGGCTCATAGGGAAAGAACCTGCCCAAGGTTTATACAGCAAGTAAGAGGGAGAAGCCAGTGGCATGACGCCGAAGCCCATGTTCTTTACTCGACCTCATCTGGCTCCTAAAGTAATCTCTGAAGAACCTGAGGTAAATAACCTCAAGGACGGCGATCCACAGTCTGTGAATTGTAAAAGCAGTTATCTCAGACTCCCCGCATTCCCCGGGCGGATGCAGGTTTGTCTTCATTGCCCATCATCAGCACTTCCAGGTGCAGGACCAGAGGAAGTGGGCCTTCACTACTGTGGAGGTTCTGCTGAAGACTCACAAGCCCAGCAGGGACCACGTGTTTGAGATCTATTTTGGTAACAGTTCTGTTGCTTACTGATTAAAAAAAAAAATGTTGGGCTATCTCTTCACAGTCCTTTATGGGAATTGTCCTATACAGGTGCTGACCAACAGGATATTTGAACTTTATGGAGTTCTGCTTGAACTTAAAAAAAATTATTAATATATGATATAAATGACTTATGTTTAAAATTTTGTATTTTTTTTTTTTTTTTTTAGTTTCTTACTGATGGAATGCTGGTCAGGGAAATGATGGTTGATCCATTGTTAACAAAATATAGGTAAATATGTTTTTCCTATGATAACTTCCCCACAGTTTCCAAAGTCCACAAATAGATTGACAAGCATTTCAATAGGTGAGATTCACATCTGTGTTCGGCTGCCTCAAAACTTTTCTCTTAACCCCAGCTATTTTGACCCTTGATGTTTTACTCAGAATTTAGATAGTGCAGCCCCTTATGTGCCCAAAGTGGACACATGAAACAACGAAACAGAAAGTAAATAAAAATGGGCACAGAAAAAGCTCTGTTCTTTCTTGTTTATTTATTTATTTAGTGTTGCTGGGGCTTGAGCCCAGGCCTCATGCATGCTAGGTAAATGCTATACCCCTGAGCTACATCATCAGTCCCCTTGTCACTAAACAGCCTGTAGAGTTGTCCTTTATATATTGCTTTGGTCACACCTAGGGTTGATAGTGACTGTAGAATCATAGCACTCCAGAGAACTAACTGGGTATTGTTTTACTGAACATAAGGCACATAAGAGTCCAAATAATTATTTATCACTTTCTCCTTCATGGTCTTTGTCCGTCACACACACACAAGGCTCTGTGGTGCATGTGTGTCACAACTGTGATCACCTGCCTGCTTGCCTGTTTCTGCCACTTTCCAGACTTATAGTGACTGGGCCTCGTCCTGTTTTTTTTTATGTGTCCTGTGGCACATAGATTGTGTTGTCATGGGAAATCGCATGATAAATCCTGTTGGAATCCATGTGTTGGTGAAGCTCTTTAAAGACAGCAGTACAGCACCACTTTCTGTACTCCAGGATGTGTTGAAGTGACTATGATTATTAGTGTAAGAATTATCGCATTGCCAGTAGGCTTCCTTTTGATCCAAAGTGATTGAAGGAGGGCTGAGTACCCACAGGGTCCCTTTGGTGGCCTGGATGGGGTGGTTGTTTCAATGTTTACTGACAGTGTCCCTTTGTCCTTAGTGTCATTATGCTGGATGAAGCCCACGAGAGGACCTTGTACACTGACATTGCCATTGGCTTGCTAAAAAAGGTATGGCTCTGCTGACAGAGTTTTGTTTTTATACTTTTATGTTTTTTTTTTTTTTTTAGTACCAGGGATTGAACCCAGGGGCACTTAACCTTTTTTTAAATGTGTTATTTTGAGATAGGGTCTCTGAGTTGCTCAGGGCCTTGCTAAGTTGCTGAGGCTGGCTTTGAACCTGTGATCCTCCTGCCTCAGCCTCCTAAGCCACTGGGATTATAGGCATATGCCACTGCACCTGGCCGTTTTTGTTTTTGCTTTTGCTTTGTTACTGACTTGGAAAAGCATGTAGCAATTTGGAAAATTCAAAGAAAATCCAAAAGAAAAAAAAAAAACTGTCATCCATCAGATTATTTCATTCATAAATATTGCACTGTTGTCATGTTTCCTAATGCCTTCTTGTTTTAGATTCAGAAAAAGCGTGGGGATCTTCGGTTGATTGTGGCTTCAGCCACTCTGGATGCAGAGGTAAAGGCATCTTCCTCCCTCCTGCTCTCCCCGTAGCACTGGAATTGTTGAACATGTCCTTGGGAAGGGAGCTGTAGCAAGAGCTCGTCTTTGGCAATGGCCTGCCTTCCTTCTGGGGCCATCTGGTGTCCTAGATTTCACATGATCACAGGATATTCCTTTTCAGCTTGTGGGTGGAAATTAGCCTGTAATTAACTAAGGGAGTTCATGATTACCTACTTGTCTCATTTCTCTGCACACTGTCTTTCTCCCCACACAGGCAACTTCTTTTTATTACTTTTTTTCAGTGTGAGGCTTGAATTTATTTATAATGAGACCTTATATGTTTAGTGTTTGTGGGTGGGTGTGCACGCGTGTGCGTACAATAGAGGTTTCACCTGTATGTTTAATAATTTCCATGTTAAAATTTTTTATGATGGACTGGGGCTACAGTTGTAGACACTTCCCTAGCATGTGTGAGGCCCAGGATTCCATCCTCAGCACCCAAAAAGAAAAAATTATGGCTAGGTTTACATTATTTTTCTCTTTGATGACTAATATTTTAGTTTAGACAGTGGTTTAACTCAACAAATATTTTAGACCAAATGCTGTTTACGTATGTAAGCACTGTGCTAGCTGCAGGTGACCCATACATGTCCCAGCTCCTTAGGGAAGCAGACCTGTAAGTAGGTGTTTACTTTTCGGTGCATTTAAAGTACGGAGAAGTCAAGGAGGGAGCACTGAATTCCAGCCAGCTAGCGAGTATCCAGAAACAGTCAATGAGGAGGTTGTATCTCAGCTCATGAGAAAGCGCATAGCAGTTTCCCAGGTGGGCAAAGCTGGAGAGGGTCTTCCTGACCAGGTATAGAACCACAGCAGCAAGAAACCGTGAGTTCAGTGAGCTGTGAATCTTACCTTGCCTGCCAGGCCCTGCAGGGGTGACCCGTCCCCCATCCACTGACTTTCTTTCCTTCCACCACCTCCTGTGTGCTCCCCTATTCTGGCCATACTGGTCCCCTTGCTGTTCTCAGAGCAGGATACATCTGCTCTTGGGGGCCTCTTTTCCTAGACCACTGTTTCCCCAGGTCTCCCAATATTTCACTCTAGTCTTGATCAGACCATATCTCCTTCCTTCTGAAACAGTGTCTGTCACAGAGTAGATGCCTGTGTTGAATAAATTTTGAACTAATGGGAAGCAGTGGGAGAGTAGATTAGAGAGGTTGGCAGGGGTCAGATGCTGGAAGGCCTTAAGACTAAGTAAAAGGGGATGGGTCACGTTGTGCACTTGCTTGGGAGCATGGGAGCAGGTGAGGCAGAACAATGACTTGATCATATTTGGGTTCTAGAAAAATCTTTTTGGATCCTGTGTAGATGACCCAAGAGTGGATACAGAGATGCCAGTTATGTGATTCAGGTGAGATGTGAGAAAGTTCTGGCTCTGGCTCTGGCTCCTAGTCTCCTGGTCTTCCTGTAGCTTCAGGAATGCAGAACAACTTGGAGAAGGAAAAGCTCAGTATGTCTAAGAGAGGTGTCTGCATTGCACATGAACTCAGGTGGGCTTCTCAGACCTCTCACAGGCTCTAGGCCTCTGTTGTTAGGGCTGCCCATGATCTCTTTTGAGTCAGAGCTTCTTTGTTGCCCTCTTTAGTTAGTTCTCATCTCCCTCACCATCCATGGTATCTCCTGGACTGTGTGCAGTCTCTCGCTTGCTCTCTCTCTCTCTCTCTCTCTCTCTCTCGCTTTTTTTTTTGTTGTTGTTGTTAGTACTGGGACTTGAACCCAGGGGTATCCCACCTTTGAGCTATACACTTAGCCTTTTTAAATTTTTTATTCTGAAACAGGGTCTCACCAAATTGCTAAGGCTGTTACTAAGAGCTGAGACTGGCCTCAAGCTGCAATCCTCCTGTGCACTGGGATGATAGGCCTGTGCCACACATGCATGGCTGGAATGCTGTTTTGAGGACAGTGCTTACTTCACCTCCAGTTCTGTCCTCCATGGTCGGCTGCAACAGAATGTCTCTGATCTTTGCCTCCTCTTTCTTTTAAAATTTATTTAATTTTAAAATTGTCCGAAACAGGTTTAGTTCTGGTGAAAAGTAGAACATCCAAGTCTTTTCCTAGAGTCATTTCTAATTAATAGTTAATAATTGCTCATAATTGCCTTTTATTGTCTCTTTACATATAGATTTAAAAAAATAGCCACTGTTCTACAAATAGTAGTTGATACAGATGATTTCTTGGAAGTATTCTTTTTTTTTTTTCAAACGGGAAGACAGAGGGTAGGAGATTTGTCATGCCTTGGTGTGCTATGCAGCAGAGCATGCTGGGACCTCAGCAACACTCAACTGAGCCTGTGGTGAGCCAGAGTCACTTATTCCTTTGTGCCTTCCTCAAATGTGCATCAGTGCCTCCTTTGTGAGAGAGAATCTGTAGGGCTGAGGGGATCAGCAGGTGGGTCCATGCTGTGAGGCTGTGGGGTGAGTAGGTGTGGGTTCATGTGAGTGTGATGTGTAAGAGCTAGGGGATGAGGAAGAGGATGTGAGTGGGCAGAAAAGGGTAAGAGTGAGGAGCACCGCAGGAGTCAGGTAGGGAGTGGCTTAGGTAGCACTGTGATTTAGAGGTCCAGGGGTTCTTGGAACCCTTCTCTGGCCCCTGGCTGTAGGTGTCAGACAAATAACAAATTGCCCAGAAGAATCGGGCTGCTGATATAGTAGCTGCTCTGGCTTCAGTCAGGGACTAGGGTGGCCTAGGCTGCAAATGAGGACACCAGTGGCTGCTATGGGGAGGCAAAGATAAGCGTAGTATAAGGGGCTGATCACATGGTTGCCTTGATGGGTTTATCTGTTTTGTGAATGTGAGCTCAGTTAAGTGAACAGTTATGTACATGACCAAACAAAGACATGTATTACCAAGTATAATTAACAAGTTTTGGATTTTTTCCCCCTAATACTGGGAATTGAACCAAAGGGTACTTTACTACTGAGCTACACCCCCACCTCTTTTTATTTTGAGCCAGGGTCTCACTAAGTTGTTGGTCTCAGACTTGTGACCATCCTGCCTCACCCTCCCTAGTTGCTGAGATTACAGGTATGCACCACAGGGCCTGGCTCACTGCAAAGTATTTTTAACCGTTGTATCATATGGTATTGTTTTTATTTGTTTCTGTCACATGACAAAAAATATGGTTTCTGATAGTTCTCAAAGATTTTTTGCCACAGGTCCAACTACTTGGAGGGAGACTTAATTCCTCTCTTTTCAAATACCTGGAGAAGGAATTTGGGATTATCTGGGCTCAGCCTCCCACCTTGGATGACTGTGCATGGCTAGAGATTGTTGGCCAAGGGGTAGACATGACTGCTGGGAGTACACTTGTGTGGATCAGGTAGGAGCAGCTACCAGGGAAGGAAGCCATGGTGAGCTAGAAGACAGCCCAGCAGATGTCCCATCATTTGCATTTCATTTCATAGATTGTCCTCTTCCTGATGTCTTGTTATATTTCTTATCATGTGTCTATGTCATTGTGGACCTGATTTAGAATCTTTTTCCAGTTGTGTTGAGCTCATTTCCAGTTGATTCTGCCTCAAGACTCATGCACCGTTGATACTGCATTTATTTGCTTTTATATGTATTTTGTATTTCTAAATAAAGATAAAGGTCTTCTCAGTACATGCTGAATTGTTTCTCTTGAGAGAATAACCTTCCATCTTTACTCTTCAGCATCACATATTCCTTAGCAGCTAAGGTTAAGCCATCGTCTCCCATGATCTTCCTCCCTGATCAGCATGACTTTCTGGAAATATTCGGCTCTGTCTACCAAACCTTTCTTATAATCTTCCTCCTGTAGCTTCTGAACCCTGCCATTTCCCCTCTCTCTTGTCTCCTCAGTAGCTTCCTCCTGGGCCTTTTTGATTGCTGTTCTTCCTCCTTAAGGCTGCCAGTTCCCGTGGCCCCTGATTTAGCCAACACTTTGCATTTGTGGCAATCCCGTGCTCCTGTGTGCCAGCCTAAGCTGTCCAGCAGCTAGCTGAGGATCACCTAAACTTATAAACATGAAATTCTTGGATTTTCTGTCCCATTCCCTTGCTTGTGATCATAGTCATTCAGGCCCAAGACCGTCTTTGCTTTAGGAAGTTTTATCCCTGACTGAATAAGAAGAAATCCCATCCTTCTCCAGGACATAAACATGTCTGCACACACTCACAGGTTGTCAGGTCCTGTTTCGACATAATGCTCTGGACGCTTACCCAGCGCTTGTGCTTTCACTCTTCCTCTGAGCTATTTCAATAGCTGCCTTAATTAGTCTACTTGCCTTCCGGCTCTTATCCCTGCTGCCCACCTCTAAATGGCCACCAGAGTTCAGGATCCAGAGCACAGGTCTGATAACATCCTCCCCAACCCTCACCGTCCTAGTCTTGCCTGTCAAGTGCAGTGTCCAGGCAGCAGGACTCAGGCCCCTTCAGAAGGATAACTATGATCCTCTTCCTTGGCTCATCTTAGGATTGGTTCTTTGCACATCTACCTTCCCTGGACTGCTTGTTGTTTTGGGGCAAGGGAAGTCTTTTCACTTACTTCAGTGTTCCTGCTTGGTGTATATCATAGGGTTGCAGGAGGCTAAAGTGACTTGGAGGGAATTCAGCCAACAGGAAACTAAAGGGTAGAAACCTGTGGAATTCTCTGTAGCACACAGAATCCTTTTGTTGGCCTGAGGCACTTTTATGTCTGTGCTTTCTCTTCCCAGACACCCCTAATGTTAATGGGTAGCACCCCAGTATATCGTTAAATCCTGGATTCTTTTAGCAATACTCTTCCAGGCCCATTCACTTTGTATTTGATTTCATTTACTAGTGCTGCTTCTGAGCTCCTTAGTTGTCAGGAGTGGACATGGGCATGTTCTGTACACTAGAAAAGATGGAGAAATAATGAAGACGGGCCTTGCAGTTACATCATCAGGCCTCAGGGAAACTGGACTATAGTTGGCGAATGGGAATGTCATTTAGATTCAAATAATGGCACCCTCAACCAACCTGGATGACTCTGTTTCCTCACCAGCTGGCACCAGCAGCCTGCATCTAGTGTTAACCCACCACCAGTGTGGTCACTCAGTCATGTAGCTCTTCTTTCTCACTTTCCTTAGTATGTTGGGGGGACACTTACCAAGAGGGGATCTTGGTGGTATCTCCTGAAGTCATTGGCTAGAGCTTTTAATATCATTATCTATGCCACGAGTTTGGCATCCTTTGGTAAAGAGTATCATTGAAACATGATTCCCCACAATTTCAATAAGAAAAGTGTTAATGTAAACATTATTTTGCAATACATTATCTGTATTACACACACACACACACACACACACACACACACACACACACCCCTAATCCCTACCTCCAGTCTGTGCCCTTTGCCAGTTTTATTTTCTTTCCATAAATACTGTGACCTTTTTGTTTTTTGAGAGAAGATGAAAAACTGATGTTTTTTTTTTTTTCTTTTTAGAAATTTCGGGATTTTTTTAATCAAAATGAAACCAGTGATCCAACCAGGGATACGTGTGTGATCCTTACAGTGGAAGGGCGAACATTTCCGGTGGATATCTTTTATCTACAAAGGTTTGATGATGTTTGACTTTTGATGATAGTGTTTAGAAACCTGGGCCTATAATGTGGAATGGCAGTGAACTGTGTCTGTTCGCAGCTCTAAGGGCAGTGAGGAGGAGCATGTTTTTGTTCAGGTCACTGTTGAATTTTTGACACTGTCATGCAAATTTGCATGAAGAGTAAAATGATGAAAGGCTGAAGGGAGAGGCTTGAGAGTTTTCCGAACTGGGGTTTACTCAGATGCCCATCAGTGAGGGTACTACGGTGATCCGGGTATATTCTCTACATCCTTAGTAAGAAGGCCTGGTTGACAATTTTGGGAGGATCCCCCCTTGAACAGAAAAGGAGCCATTGTAATTCTTGGTCCTAATTGGGCAAACTGACCAAGGGCCTGGCCTAATGACTGTTAAGAGAGTTGTGAACTTGACTTCTGAGTTGTTGTAGCTGGAGAGCACATACATCTTAGCCTACCTGACCCATATGTTCTGCCCGTGGCCAGAAGGGGAAATGAGCCAGGGAGAGGGTGGGCTTCAGCATTGGAGCCACAGCCCCAGGTTTTCCCTGGCCTGGCATCTTTGCATATTAAGACAGCACATCTGTATGCATGTTGTATCATTTTTATTTGTTTGCAAGTATAGCTAAAAATCATAGCTTTTGTGTAATTATGGATTACACAAAAAGTGCATAATTAAAGAGTGAAAGTTTGTTTTTATTTATCCTCATACTAATTACTTGTTGGGCAGGCCCAAACTTACTTTCAGGAGGTTTTGTTGCCAGATTATAAGGTAATTGATCTATAATTAATGAGCATATTCTAGTGATGAGTTTATGTCAATGTCTTTTCAGTCCTGTTCCAGATTATATCAAATCAACTGTGGAAACTGTGGTAAAAATTCACCAGACAGAGGGAGATGGAGACATACTAGCCTTTCTTACTGGCCAGGTAATTCCATCAGGCCTGAGGAATAGACATGTTAAGGCAACACATGAATTAATGTAGAGCCCTGCTACTTTCCTGCTTAGCCATTTTTTTCATGTCTCCCTTTTTTTGGCGGGGGGTGGTATTGGGGCTTGAGCCCAGGGGCACCACCACTGACCTGTAACTCCAGCCCTTTTTATGTTTTACTTTGAGACAGTCTCACTGAGTTGCCCCAAGCTGGACTGGAACTTTCAATCTTTCTGCCTCAGCCTCTCAAATAGCTGGGATTGTAGGCCTGTATAATTGCACCTGACTCATTGTGTTTTGCAGTTACTTACCTGTATAAAAAATTGTTGGGTTATCCATCAACTGGATTGTCAGGGAATTGTTAGCTCTTCCCTGTTCTGTCTGCAGAGGGTTAAGTGTATGTTAAATGTATTAGCTGATTAGTTAGATAATTGAGTCAGTGGCTGTTTCGTTGGCCAGGATTTTATGTTAACATGTGCATCTTGCTGCATGCATGTTGCCACTGTGTGCCTCTTTTCCTGGTGACACCTTTACAACTCATCCTGGAGTTGGTCAGTGGCTGTCTTGCTGGAAAAACAACTGAATAAGTCCAAGTCCTCCCTCAAGGATCTAAAACTATTCAGAGCTACCCTCCAGCTCTGATCTTCTCCACTGCCAAACATTTTCTGCAGTTAGTGGTCTTTTCTGGGAAAAGCTCATGATGATTTTATAGGCCACAACTTGACCTTTGCATGGAAGGCTTTATTTTCTTAGTCCATAAAACTGAGTAAAATTGTCATTGTTTTAATTTATCTGGAACGTTCCTATTAACTACAGGTAGTTTAGTTTTAGTGATTAATATTATAGTTTCAAATTTTTACCCCTCTGGCACTGTTGTTCTAGCATTTGTTCAAAAACCGTCCCAAGTAGAATGTGGTATCACCAAAATTCATGAATCTGACCAAAATTAAAATTCTGACTCCAACTTTCATTGTTTTTCAGTGTGATAAAATGACATGCTTCATGTTGATCTGTTCCTTTGGTGTCTGGTTCAATGTTTAGGAAGAGGTGGAAACTGTCGTGTCAATGCTGATCGAGCAGGCCCGGGCCCTCGCTCGCACTGGGATGAAGAAGCACCTCCGGGTTCTCCCCATGTATGCAGGTCTGCCTTCCTTTGAGCAAATGAAAGTGTTTGAAAGGGTCTCACGCAGCGTCAGAAAGGTGAGACTACCCTGATGCCCAAGGGTGTCTGCGACCATCTATAGTCATACTAGTTCTTTGTCATGTACTTCAAGGATTTTTCTTTTACATTGAAGTGAAACTTACTAAATAGGAAAGTTTCTTTCAGAATTTTAGGCCATGTTATAGTAAATAATGTGTGAAGATTTCTAAACGAGCTCCACAGAGGGTCACTCTGAAAGTAATTATTAGAGCAGGTGACTTCACTTCTCTTCTGCCTGCCTGGTAATTCCCATGGCAGGAATCTGCCTTGGCTTAAAGATCTGTCTTGTTGGCTTGTGGTCAATTAGGAACAATAGATAAGTCACTACCAATAGTTTCTGAACCACTTGTTGTGAATATCAGTTTACCTGTAGAGCCAAGTTTAAATCAATTAATTCAAGGAGTGGCTTAAAAGTATTTAGCCTTGAAATTGGGTTGGGGAGGGTGTGGTGGGAAGCAGCATTGATTAGAGGGAGCCGGCCATCATCAGCCAGTGTGACTCCTGCTCCTCACCCACAGGGCTCTGCAGTCCTTTGCCTTCCAGTAGGTGAGGAATGCCCAGCAGGTGGTAGAGAACAAAGCTGGTGGGGGTGGTGTGTGGAGGCCTTGCTGATCAGGCCACTTGGAACCGGGTGCCCAGCCTTTTGGCCTTTGAGAGGGAGCAACTGGAGTCGCCCAGGCAAACGCAGCCAACCAGTCAGGAGGCTTGGATCCCCTGAGTTACTTGTGCACCCCAGGATAAGTTACTTAACATTAAGTCTCAATTTTTGTAGCTGTAAAACAAATAATAAAAACTTTGTGATAGATGGTTTTATAGTATAAAACTCTAATATATAAAAATGTTAGGAAGATTTTTTTTATAAAGTGATTTTAAAAAATGAAAAGTGCTTGAAAAAAGTTCCCAGTGTGATGATCTACATGTCCTCTGCTGCTTAAACCCTCCACTAGTTCCCAGTGTACTTGTAACAAATGAAAAAGTACCTCACACTGGCCCAGAGATTGCACGGGACCTGGGCCCTGCCTCTGTCCCCAAGCTCATCCTGTACTTGCTCTGTGTTCTGGTCATATTGGTGGTTACTCCTTCCTTTGAACTGTAGCTTCTACTTGCATCTCTGTAGGGTTGGCTGCTTCCTGTTACTCAGGCCTCAGTCAAAGTCATCTTTCAGAGGGCTCTCCCTGGCCCTCCATTCCAAAGTAGCATGCCTTGTTCGTATAATATAAACGTTATATACCCCAGCATGTTACACTGCTGGGTTGTGGTTTTTTTGTGTCATTTTTTGAAGTTCTCTTCTTGCTGTATTTCCATCCCGAACACTGTCACTAAACTGCTGGAGCAGTGGGGCCTTGATTATCTTGTCCATCATATATCCCCTGCATCTTGGATAGTGCCTGCTCAAGAGCAGACCCTCAGAAACTAGTTATAATGTGAGCAAATCAGTGAATATACCTGGGTGAGACGGAGATTTACTTATGCTGTGTGAAAGAGAAAAACTAACGTTGATAGATGCCATGTGCCCAGTATTAGGTTCTATCACTGGATATCTGTATCTTATGTAATCCCTCAGCAGCCCCGGGGGAGGTGGTGACTGTCATTATGTAAGTGAGGAACCAGCGCTCAGGAGGTCAAGGAGCTTCTCCAGGGACCCAGGATTCAGGAGGATTTCAGCCCAGGGCTCCCAACTCTGAAGCTACTGCTCTGTCTAGTATCGCAATTGCTTCACAGATCCTGATTTGAAATATCATTACATGTTTAGGATTTTTAAATTTGTTTACAGTGAAAAGAATCAACAGCTTTCCGTATTCTTCTTCCTGTGGGGACTTAGGTGATAGTGGCCACCAATGTGGCAGAAACCTCCATTACAATCGGTGGCATTGTGTATGTGATCGACTGTGGCTTTGTGAAACTGCGGGCCTACAATCCCAGGACGGCTATAGAATGCTTGGTGGTGGTTCCTGTGTCCCAGGCGTCCGCCAACCAGCGCGCAGGACGCGGTGGGCGCAACCGCTCTGGAAAGTGTTACCGCCTCTATACAGGTTAGTGCGACTCCCCTTAAGGGTTTTTGACTCTCATGGTTAGCCTGGGCCTTGGATAAGGTAGTAAATGTTTATCCCTGTGGCAGAACGCATGTAAAATCCAGCCATCCCTGCCAGGTCGCCCTGTGATCTGGCCCCCGCCACCTTCCTCGCCCTAAGCATAGCGCTTCTTTACTCTTCCCCATTGGCTAAAGCTGGCCCAGCAAATCACCACCTGTTTACCATCCTGTTCTAACTTAGGATTGGGGCCCAGGCCCTTCTGTGGCCATGTGACTCTACGGCTTTTATGTCTCAGGTTTGGTCTTTCTCACCTTTCTCTTAGCTTAATGTGCTTTTTTCTTATTCTGAGGTCCCTGAATGCTGTGGGACCTCACCTTGGACCCATTCCATCTTGCAGAGCTAGGATGAAGGCTCTATCCAAGACTCATTCACAGAAAACAAATAGTTGGTAAACTCCTGCTCTATGCCCTGTACTGTGCTAGGCTGTGAGGGAGCAAAATTAAAATTCTGATCAAGAGCTTTCTTCCCAGCTTGGAGACAGCTTTAACCAAAAAAGATGTGTCTAGAGCTGCTCCTTCCCTTTCTACTCTTTGCTTTTGAGGGGAGTGGTACTGAGATTTTTTTTCTTCTTCCTTTGTGCAGACTTGGTCAATCATTACTGAGTCCCTCCTCCTTCCCCTGTCCCCTGCTGTTGCTGAACAGGTCTGAAGGTTGTAGCTTTGCCATTTATTGCTTCCCTTCATTTCTGGTTCCTGTCATCCTTATTCAGTTCTTGATGTCATTCTGTCTTTCCTTATTTTCTTTTTTGATTTTGGGGATGGAACCCAGGGCCTTGAATGTGCTAGGCAAGTGTTCTACCCTGAGCTATACCCCGGCCTTCTTTCTTTTATCAAATGTTTACAGAGCCTCGTTTGCATGCTAGACATGGGGTTGAGGCTTGGGAATCTAGGGCTCCGTGGAACTAGGCTTGTGGCTGCATGGTGGACAATCTGGTGGTGGAGACAGACCCACTAACAGATTAGCATGTTAAGGTGTGGTAGGATTACTGTAGAGAATAGGGGCTCTTGGAAACAGAGAAAGGCTCGTGTTTTTTTGTTTTTTTTTTTTGCTGGGGAACTGGAAAGTGCTTCACAACCAAGGTTGTGTTTGGACCTGACTTTATTGGAAGCCCAGTATTTATCCAAGTAAATAAGGAGAGGCGTTAGAGAAGAGATTTATTTATCCAAGTAAATAAGGGAGGCGTTAGAGAAAAGATTTCAGCATTCCAGGCAAAGGGAATGGGATATACAAGTACTGGGAGGGGAGGAAGGGGATGTAGAGCATCATAGGCAAAACCGAGGCCAGAGAGGTACAGACAACCCCTGAAGGTGCTAAGAAAGCCTGATTGGAGTGGGCAAAGACCAGGATGAAAAGGCACCCTGAAATGCAGAGGAGGAGGAAGTTTCAAAAATGTATCTATATTTATATATTATCTCATATATTTTAAATTTTATTCAGGTGAAATTTACATAAGTCAGCCATTTTAGAGTGAACAGTATATGCAACCTCTCCCTCTGTCTAGTTTCAAAATATTTCCGTCCCTCCAGTGGAAAACCCTTACTTAAGCAGTTTCTCCCCATTCTTCCTGGCCCCCTATCCCTGGCAATTGCCAATCTGTGTTCTGCTTCCATGGATTTATCTGGGATATTTCATATAAATACAGTCATACCATATGTGACCTTCATACAGCATGTGACCTTCATATAATATGTGACCTTCTGTGTCTGACTTCTTTAGTGTAATGTTTTCAAAGGCCGTTTACATTGTACCATGTATGCCATTTGTCATTCCTTTTTATGATTGCATAATATTCCATTGTATGGAAAACCAACAGTTTGTTTATTCGTTCATCAGTTGGTAAACATTTGGGCTGTTTCCACCTTGGCTGTTTTGGGTAGTGCTGCTGTGAGATGCATGTACATGTACTTGAGAACTTGTTTTTAGTTCTTTTGGTTTTTGCAGGGTGATATAGTAATTTCATGTTTAATTTTTTAAGGAGCTCAGTTACTTTTTCCTCCCTCCCTCTCCCCCCACCTCATTCTTTCTTTCTGTTGGTGGTATTGGATATCAAACCCAGGGATGTTCTTCCCTTTCTAGTTTTTAGAGACAGGGTCTCACTGGGTTGCCTCGCTGGACTGGAACTTGAGATCCTTCTGCTTCAGCCTCCTGAATTGCTGGGATCATAGATGTGTGTCACCATGCCTGGCTCAAATTACTCTGAAAGAAGTCATGGTCAGCACCCATCTCTTGTGCCAAAGAAATCATGTAATAGAGTATGGACTAAAGGTATTCAGGTGGATTTAGGTGAAAGATCATCGAGTCCCTTTGCAGGGTGTTTCAGTGGAAGTGGTGTTGGGGAGGGGCCACTGCATAGTAACAAGTGCACAGTGTCCAGCGTTCAGGCTTCCAGAGTGTAGCTTTTAGATAGCACACCTCTCACAGACCCTTACAGTTTTGTGAACCTTCCAGAACTCTTCCTCATCTTATCTCCTCTCACTCACCATCTGCATCTGCTCAACATGGCTTCTCAGCTGAACTGCACTCTTGTTGGATGTGCCCTCTGCTTCCTGCATCCACTACTCAGACCTCGGATGCCTTTCCTTGGGCTTTTTCCTTTTTGCCCAGCAAAACCTCTTTAGCCCTGAAGTCCCCTCAGTGGCAACTCCTTATGGGGCTCCTTTAGAGCCTTCTCTGGTGACCATTCTTTCCTCTTTCCCCAAGCCTCCGCTTCTCTTTGGAGGACCCCTTGATGGGACCTAATCTGTTCCTCCTTGCAGAGCAGTCAGGTCTTGGTCCAGGCCCCTTCCTGTCACTGATGCTGTTCTAAGGGTTGGCCTGTGGCTTTTGGCCTAGGCATCTCACCAGAGCTTGAGCACCACTGAACTCTGAGGATGTACCTGCTTCCTGTGAGTGGCCCCCAAGCAAGGCCGGCCTCTCATCTGATGACTGTTTTTCCCTTGCCAAAATGGTGTATTTGGGAAGTTTGTTCCTGCTGCCAAAAAACTGTATCCAAGATGCTTTTGAAACTAGAGAGTATCTGCTTGGAACTTCTGCTGTTGCTCGGAATCCAGAACTTCCTGGGTAGATCCATGCATATGGCAACTTATATCACAGTCCTTAGACTTTTGGTTGTCTGTCTTCTCAAGGAAAACCTTTTGTGCTATTTCTTCATATCACCTTTTGCTTCATTTTGTTTTTTCCCCTAGTTCACTAAAGCTTTATGGTCTAAATGGAGGTTGGGCCACCGTGGTGTTTAAGAAGGGTGTACATCTGTTAAAATGTTGACTGATGTGGGAGGGTTTTGTGGGTGGAGCATTGTCTGTATATACACAAAAATAATTTAATCTCCTCTGCCTCTTTCCCTGTACCCTTTTGTCTAGTTTTTATAAAAGGCTTTCTGAAGTCTCTTCCTTCCCCACTTCTTTTCCTGCCCCTCCTAGTGTAGGATATCTGTGCCACGAAGTACTTTTTCCTGCTTTAGGTCACCTTTTGTTGCTATGGGGCATGTAAGCATTCATTAATCTATTCATTAATCTATTTGGGTCAACACTGGATTCTGGGTGTGACATTGTGCTTTTTGCTTATTGATTTAAAAAATTAGATTTGGACAATTTTTACTTTTTATAAATTCAGTCACTTGTATTCTGGATGCAGTTTTGGTGATTTATTTTAAAATTGCTCTTTGCTTATATGTGCAGTTCTTGACTCCTTGACATTCTCTACCCAAGAGATGACGATAACTGGGTGTCAATAGTGATTCAACAAATACTTGCTGCTTTGATATTTTGCTCAGAAAAAGCATTTGAAAAACAACATTCTAAAGTAAAAGGACAAATTTTTATAAAGGAGTATTGTTAGAATGTAGTATCTAAAGTTTTTTTTTTTTTTTTAAATAGAAAGGTCTTTTGTAAATATAAAAACCTTGCATTACCAGGTCATGTGCATCTGGTCTCAGAATCCTGGAGATTCTTGACCAAGGTAGAAAAGGAAGTCTGTCCCTTTGGCATGTGATTGCATTTGGCTGTCACATTGGATCCCTGACTGTTCTGATTTACTATCTTCAGAGGAAGCCTTCGACAAGTTGCCTCAATCTACTGTTCCTGAGATGCAGCGGAGCAATTTGGCCCCTGTCATCCTGCAGCTGAAAGCGCTAGGGATTGACAACGTCCTCAGGTTTCATTTCATGTCGGTGAGTCCTGTCTTCTGTGTGGGGGGCTTCCAGGGGGATGCTGGCATGTTGTGGAAAGCATGCCATCTTTCTTTTTCCCACTCAGCTTAAGTGTTGGGGCTAATTTGGCTCAAGGTCCAAAGCAGGGTATGGGGGAGATGGTGAGACAAGCAGCCACACTTAGTTTGTTGGTAATTCCACTTCTTGTCTGCTAGGGGAGAGACCAATAAGTGGGTAAATTACAGAGCAGTGTGCCCTGTGCTCTGAGAGACAAAGGAAGAGCTCCCTGCCCCGTTAGTCCTGAGGTGAAATCTGAGACCTAAGCAGGGTTTTCCACCAGGTAAGGAAGGATGAAGGGTCCAGGTCAGTGGGTTCATGGATAGTCCTGCATGATCAAGAGCATTGTGACCGGGGAAGCCAAGAAGGTTTTGGAAGAATTGTAGGGAAGACTCTATGGCTGATTTTGATTTCCTAAGCCAGGTTGCTGAGAACACTGGGCCAAAGGTCCATAGTCCTTTGTGACTGGATACCTGGCCAGATGGCTATACTGACATGGGCTCCAGCAGGCCTGGTGTGTGGTGCCCCGATCATGCTTGGTCATTGTCTTGTAGAGTTTGTTAATGTGATTGGAGAGAGGTAAAAAGGGAGGGAGGGAGAGGGAAATGGAGATTATTATCTTTACCACTAATTTATTTTTTCTCATAGATTAAAAAAAAAATTACTGGCCAGTTTTATTTCTTTTTTTCTTGGTAGTACTGGAATTGAACTTGGGGCCTTGACCATGCTAGGCAAGTGCTCTACCATTGAACTTTGCCCTAGCCCTTTTAATTTTGAGACAGGTTTTCTCTAAGCTACCCAGTTGGCTTGGAACTTTTGATCCTCCTGCCTCAGCCTACTTAGTAGCTGGAATTATAGACATGTGCTGTTGAACCCAGCTCATCAGAATTTTTAAGTCATTTGTCTGCTAAGATTATGGAATTATTCAAGAGTTCATTAAAGACATCAACCTTTGTTTGTAATATTTCTTGCTAGTATTTTTTATTTGACCTTTTTTTTTAAATGTGCAGACATTCTAAATATAACCAAAATAAAACCTTCTGTCTTCATCCTCATGATTTCTACTAGGTTAGTTAGTAGACATTCATGAGTATTTTCCTAGAGGACTTCTATGGTTGAGGACTCACATGTTCACTCATTTGTTCCATCCTGGCTGTCGTGGTTTATGGTGTGACAAGTCTGGATTTTGGATAACAAACAAACAGCAAAAAACAAACAAACAAACAAACAAAAAAACAACAAATCCCAGCTCCTCAAAGAAGCTATTGTGTGCTCACTGTAAGCCCAGAATAAATGTTCCCTTGACTACTGCTGTATAGGTTAAGATACTATAAAGAAAAGATGAACAGTGTATGCAAATATAACCCTAGGAAAAGTCCCATATCTAAGATTAAAGGAAAACATAATGGCAGAAATGACTTATCAGTGTCTTAAGAAATACCAAGAGTTTTCAAAATGCATTCATTTAGAATAAATCAAATATCCAATAAAGGATAAGTTAAGGGGAGGAAGCAGCACAATTTATAAATTGACATAAAGACATGTTCTCCTCCACGGAAGATGTAGCTACAAAGCCCGATTTTACACTAATTAAATGATCAACTATTAAGAAAAAATGATGAAATCCAGAGCTAACAACATTTTGGCAGAGTCAATGCCCTGTGTATTGCTGGTGGTTTTATGTTCTGTTTTGGTCCTTGGGAGGTACTTTCTGACAATATTTTATGAACCATGGAAATGCCTGCTATTTTTTCCCATGGAAGTTTCTCCTGAGAAAGTAATTTGAAAGAAGAAAAAAATGCTTACATAGATGATATTGTTTTTAGCACTATTTTATATCAAAATTTAAAAGTATAGACAATGAAATCATAATAAAACTTTTGGATGATTTAAAAATAAAAACACACATACAGATTTATTTTTATTCATTCCTTTCTGGCTGCATTCTCCTGAAACTGTGTTTTTACAGTGGCAATCACAGGATACATGTAATTTTGTATGTTTAGGAATGTTAATTAGAAAAGTGAAAAAGGAGAAGCACTCATTTGCCCAGTAATGGGAAAACTGACTTCTTGATGGAGTATGACCAAAATGCCTATTAGGCAGCTATCCCAAGTAGTTAGTGGGGCGTCTTATGGGTTTAAGAAACAAGGAAAACATGAGAAAAACAAACAAATTATACTTGCACAGTAATTCCAAATATATTAAAACTGTGGTTGCTGTGATCCCAAATCAGATGAAGTCCTAGAGGAGTACCAGTGAATGTTCATTTAGATGAAAATACTTTTGAAATGATTTTTGTGGGGTCTGGGGAATAAGTTTTTTCGATTGATGGTAAGTGATTTGAAATAGGGTCAGAATTGAAAGGAGTCAAGAGAACCTTGTTTCTGTAATTGTTCAGAGCCTAGATCAGAGCCTCGCTATTCCTATTAATATAACCTCAGTATTAACGATCCCTAGAAGGTTTAAGCTCCTGCATTTGTGAATTGTGCATTTTGTCCCTTTGAAGAAAAAGATGTCATAGGATGAGGAGAGGCAGTGGGCCAGTTACATGATTTGCTCCCAGTGGTCTGTGGAGTGCCCTCTTTGCAGTTTGGACCACACCTTTGTGGTTTGTGCACCTGAGCTTTTAGAAGTTTGACTTTGGCAAACAAAGTGGATGAGGTAAAATGGAAAACAAGAAACCTAAACTTAGCTTCTGACTTTGCCACAAACTGCCTGTGTGATCTTGTTCAAATGTCTTCCACTTTCCTCATCTGTAACATTGATCTTCAACAATGTGATGCTTAAAATACATTTGTTATCTGAATGCATCTAGAAGAAAAGCCATGCAGTTTGAAAAGCAGTATAATTTTATTACCTGACTTAGTCAAAACCACATAATTTGGAGAGAAAAAATAATGATGCCTGGCACTTTGTAGGTGCTCAGTAAAGATTTGCAGAGGACAGAAGGAGGTTAGGATCTAGAGAATCAGGCTGAGAGTCACACTGTCAGCTCTGCTTAACTGTTGATCATCCAGCATTCCCGTTTGTTATCAAAAATGCAAATTCAACACATGTTTTTAACCCTCCATAGGCTTTGCCTCTGGGTGATGCAAAAATAAATCGTCTATGAGCACTGCTGTATCCTGGGCTCCCAGGAGAATGTCAAGACGTGAAGTAAACAGTAGCAATGTCTGAGGAGTGTTTAGGGAAAACAAAGAGGTGGTTTAAGTTAGGGACCAGCACCTCAGGGGGAAGGGAAGCGGGGGAGGGCTGCCAGGGGAATTGTTTCATCAAGCTGAGCCTTAAAGACCAGGCAGTACCGAGGATGCCAGGAAGGCTGGAAGGACATTCAGGGGGCACCAGCAGGAACAGAAGCACGGAGACTGGGAGGAATGGGACATGCTAGAGGGAAAGTGGATTTGAATAGGAAGTGTTCACATCTTTATGTTCCTTGCCCAGAGAAATTAATTCAGGGGACTTTTATGTGTTTTACAGCCCCCTCCAGCACAGTCGATGGTTCAAGCTTTGGAGTTACTCTATGCTCTGGGAGGTATGCCTCTTTCTCTCTTCCGTGTGTTCCCCCATGATGGAGTCTGTGGCATTCACTCTGGCGCTCCTAGTAGCTTCAGGAACGGGGTGGATCCTCCTCATTTGTGTTATCTTTTTCATGACACTCTACTGAAATAGAAGTTGGGATCATAATTAGATTGTGACAATTTATAAAGCATTCTAGTACATAGCAGCTAGGTGACTATCACCAGGGCCACACTCCTCAGAGACATCAGAGATCAGTGATTCTCTAGCAGAGGGCAGAGGGTACCTCCTCGGAACTTTTCTTCCTGCCCCTACCTCATCCTGAAAGCTGTGGCTCAGTGTTTCTTTCCTCATATTCCTGTACTTTGTTCCTGGAGTTTCCTTGGGGAACAGGGAGATCACCAGTCAGGGGAATTGTTTGGGAAGGAAATAGTCTACTACAGAGGAGCCTCTGTTTGCTTATCTGAGAACGTTGTTTTGTACCTGAAGATGGAGAAAAATCATAACTTGAACTCATCTTCAGGAAGTACTGACTTGCTCTGAAGGGTGCCCCACATGGCTGCCATCCAGTTTGGTTATTAAATTTTAGTAGGTTTTTCCCCCCTCAGGTATATTTTCATATTTCTTTTTTTAAAAAATGACTTTATTGAGGTGTGATTTTACATACCATACATTTCAGTCATTTATAGTGTATGATTCAGTAGCTTTTGATATACTCAAAGAGTAGTACATTCTTCACCACAGTCTAATTTTAAGATGCTTTCATAACTAAGAAAAGAAACCTTGTATCCATTAGCACATAGTCTCCATTTCCATACTCCCCTGTCCCAGGCAACTACTAATTTATCTCTCTAGATTTGCATATTCTGGACATTTTACATCAATGGAATCATATATGAGGTCTTTTATGATTGGCTTCTTTCATTCAGTATGTTTCTAAGGCTCATCCATGTTGTAGGATATATCAGTCCTTCATTCATTTTTATTGCTGAATAGTATTCCATTGTATGGATAAGCCATGTAAAATTTTTATCCATTTATTAGCTGATAGACATTTATGTTGTTTCCTCTTTTTGGCTAGTATGAATAATAATGCCGTGCACATTAACATACAGATTTTTTCGGGATGGGATACTGGGGATTGAACTCGGGGGCACTCAGCTACTGAGCCACATCCCCAGCCCTATTTTGTAATTTATTTAGAGACAGGGTCTTGCTGAGTTGCTTAACACCTTGCTTTTGCTGAGGCTGGCTTTGAACTCGCCATCCTCCAGGCTCAGCCTCTGGAGCTGCTGGGATTATAGGCGTGCACTACTGCTCCTGGCAAGCATACAGATTTTTGCTGGGCATTCTCCCAACTATGTGTAAGAGTCCAGTTTTTCCATATTACCAGTGCTTGTTACCCTTTGTCTTTTGTATCATAGCTTTCCTAATGGGTAGGAAATGGTGTCTAGTGGTTTTGTTTTGCATTTCCCTTCTGACTCGTGATATTGAGTATGTTTTTATTTGCTTATTTGCCATTTGTATACAATGTGTCTCATCCCATAGGTATCCCTGGGGCATTGATTCTAGGACCCCCTCTGATGCCAATATCTATGGATACTCGAGTCTTACTGTGAAGTGATGCAGTGTTTGCATATGACCTGTGCGCACTCTCCTGTGTACTTCACATCCTCTCTAGGTTCTCATAATACCTAACACAATGTGAATGCTCTGTTTACTTGTTCTACAGTATTTTTTAGGGATTAATGGTAAGAAAAAAAATCTGTATATGATTTGTATAGATGTAATTTTTTTCTTAAATATTTATGAACCATTGTTGATCGAATCCAAGAATGTGGAACCTGCAGATATAAAGGGCTAACTGTATTTTTTTTTTTTTAGAAAGGTTCAAGTTCTGTGCTTGTTTTTGCTTGGGTTATTGTCTTTTTATTACTGAGTTGGAGGAGCTCTTTATGTATTCTGGGCACAGATTTCTTATATGGTATGTGAATTGTAACTCCTTTCCCCATTTCTGTGTGTTGGCTGTTCATTTACTTGATGGTCTCGTTTTGTAATACAGAAGTTTTAGGTTTTTGTGTAGGTCGATTTATCTGTTTTTTCTTTTGTCACTTGTTCTTTTGGTGTCTTGTCTAAGAAAATATTGCCTTGGGGCTGGAGATACAACTCAGTGGTAGAGCAGGTGTTTGGCTCGGCTTGTGTGAGGTCCTGACTTTGTTCCTGGGGAAGAACAGAGACAAAAAGAAAACTTTGCCTAACCCCTGGTCATTACTCCTAGGTTTTCTTTAAAGAGTTTTATGGTTTTTGGCTCTTACATTTAGGTCTGTGATCCATTTTGGTTAATTTTTTTGTTTGGGGTGTGATAGGGGTCCATTTTCATTCCGTATTTATAATACCCCCCTGAGGAAATAGCCAATTACTGATTAAAAAGCTCTCCATTGATTTAAAAGTCCACAGAAGATCAGCCTCGAGTGACTGTGTGCTGGAATGGGTTTCCAAAGTAAGGTTATCTTTAATGCAGATGTCAGACCATTAATGATATGGGTATTTTTCATTTGGTTTGATTTTCCTCCAAACAGAACAAATTTTCCTGTTTCTTCACTGCCCCAAATTAGCTGGCAAAGGTTGAGGGAAGGGCTGGGGATGTGGCTCAAGCGGTAGCGCGCTCGCCTGGCATGCGTGCGGCCCGGGTTCGATCCTCAGCACCACATACAAACAAAGTGTCCGCCGATAACTAAAAAAATAAATATTAAAATTCTCTCTCTCTCTTTTTCTCTCTCTTTAAAAAAAAAAAAAGGTTGAGGGAAACCCCCATCTTAATTTAGTTTCACCTTTAAAAAGATGATTCTTTTGAAACAGAAGAGGAATGACCTTTTCTGTTTTACTCTGAGCTCTTGTAAGGTTTATTTTACTCAGTAGTCTACATCTTGGAAGTCTCGGGAATCCATACCTGGATATTGGCCAGTAGAAGAGAGGCATGGAGGAAAGGGGAGGAATTGAAGGAACATGCCCGGGGCAGTTGGGTAAACAGGCCTGAGCTGGTGCCAGAGGGGTTGGGGCTAGCATTCAGATGCAGAGTTGCTGTAACAGTTACTCTCCTGGTCTGAGAGGAGCAGGGGCACAGCATGTCATCCTGGCACATCCGTGGCCTGGCCTGGCCTGGATGTGGAAGGCAGCCCAGAAGGTGACTGAGGAGAGCATCGAAGGAGCTGGTGGCACCCAGGAGAGCAGGGGTCATAGAAGCTAGCAGGAGGCCAGGCTGAGGTCAGCAGAGGCAAAGGCTGTGGAGAGTGGGAGGAGAGGGCCTCGGTGTGTCTGGGTGGCCTGGCTGCGGGACTGCTAAAGAGCCCCTCTGGGAGGCAGCAGGAGTGGAGGGAGGCTGCTGTGGGTTGAGGAGAGGGTGAGAGCAAGAGGCCATTGCAGGGCCATTTTCTTTAAATAAAGTCCTTGAATAGAAGTCGTTACAAACAGCAGTTTTTTAAAACTGGGGATTTAGGAACTCCATGGAGATCTTTTCTTCTTTTGATACAACAGCACTCTGGTGTCAGACTGAATAGTGCAAGAGTCATCTATTGGGTACCATTTTTAGCATTCATCATCTTTTATTCTCTCGAAAAGTGTGCGTCTCCCAACACAAGGGTACATGCTTTCTGCTATCTTTTGTTCTCTTCTTTTGGCAGGTCTAGACAAAGACTGTCGCCTAACTGAACCACTTGGCCTGAGAATAGCAGAGTTTCCTTTGAATCCCATGTTCGCCAAAATGCTGCTTGAGTCAGGTGGGTAGACCCCGACAACTTGTGTTGATTTTATTTTGATTGTCAGAGGAGTTGTTTCCCTAAATTCTGTGCACCCTGAGGAAGACCGTCCGGTGTTGGTTAGACAGCATCAACAATAAGGAAGAGATAATTTGCCACTTTAACCATTTTCAGGTATGTAGTTCTGAGACGCTGGGTACGTTCATATTAGTTTGCAGCCGTCAGCACCAGCCATTTGTGGACTTTCTTCTGTCCTCCCCTCTGAATCTTTACCCATTAACACTAACTCCTGTTCTACTTCTTGTTTCTGAGGATTCAGCTCCTCTAGGAATCTCACACAAATAGAACTATATAGTGTCTAGCTTATTTCGTTTAACATTATATCTTTAAAGGATCCTCCATACCATAGCATGTTTCAGAATTTTCTACATACAAGTTTCCATTGTATGTATATACCACATTTTGAGTATTTGTTCATCTGTTGGTGAACATTCAGGATTCTTCTATCTTTTGGATGTAGTGAATGATGCCGCAGTAACCACGGATGTGCAATTGTATCTTTGAATCTATGTGTTCACTTCTTTTGGGTGGATACCCAAATGTGAATTATCAGGTCATATGATCATTCTGTTCAGTTTTTTTAAAGAGTATTTGTTTTTAATTAATAGATAATAATTGTATATATTCATGGGATACAATGTGACATTTTGATCTATATATGTATGTGTGTGTGTGTGTGTGTTTGTGTGTGTGTGTGTATAGTAGAAAGAGTTGGCCAGGCTTATTAGCATATCATATTAGCATTACCTTACCAACTCATCATTTTTCTATGGTGATAATGTTGAAAGTATCATTTTAGTAAATTTGGACCATACATTATGTTATTATTAACTGTGGTCACAATGCAGTGCAACAGATCACTTAAACTGACCCTCTCTTACCCAAAACTCTGTGTCCTTTGATCAACATCTCCCTTTCCCCTACTCCCCCTTTTCTCTCCAGCAACTATTTTTGCTCATTGTTTTTATGAGATTGACTTTTTCAGATTCCACACATAAGTACAATTCTATAGTGTTTGACATTCTGTGCCTGGCTTATTTCACTTAGCATGTTGTACTCCATTTCCATTCATGTTGTCTTAAAATGACAGAATTTCCTTATTTTTAAAGGCTGTATGCTATTTAATTGTGTATATAGCATAGTTTCTTTATCCATTTACCCACTGATGGACATTTAAATTGCTTTCATTTTTTGGCTGATGTGAATGTTGCTGTAATGAACAAGGGAGTGAAGAGTTCTCTTCTACATGCCAGTTTCAGTCTTTGGGGTATATACCTAGACGTAGGATTGCTGGATCATACGGCAATTCTAATTCTAGTTTCTTTAGGAACTTCCTACTATTTCCTAGAATGGCTGTACACAGATTTATTTTTTGAGGAATTGTCGTACTATTTATCACAGTGGCTGTACCATTTGCCTTCCTAACAACAGCAGTACACAGGCTTCCAGTTTCTCTGCTACTTTCAGATTTTTGTGAGGACATAAGTTCTAGTGTAAAGGTCAAACCTCGAGATCTATTTAGGTAGAGACCAGAATCATCTAGAGAGTATAGATTGTCCCTCCCTGCCTGGAAAGGTAATATGGACTTTTTCTTTTTTTTTGTCTAATTTGTTTATGAAGGTGTAATTCATTTCAACCCACATGGTGAGAGCTGGGAAACGAGTTGCCGTGGTTGGCCTTATACAGAAGCAGGTTCTAAGCCTGGCGTTGTGTGCATCAGGCGGGAAGCTGCGGGCAGGTGGGGCTTGGTCTGTCTAGTACCCTAGAGGGTTGGTTGCTGCAGATTCTTTTCCAGGAGCCACAGAGTAGCCCAGAGTGCTGTCCTGGTCTAGTTTTGCCTTGGGCTTCCCAGGTGAGATGAGCCCTTGCGAGCACTTCTGAGAGGCCACCACCTTGCAGAAGGGCCTAGGAGCAGAGAAGCAGCAAGAGGGCTACAGCCCACACCTGCAGCCCCCCTTGCCCCCCTCACCCCACTTGCCCCCAGGCTGAAGCCAGGTTTCCAGGTGTCCCAGTAAGAGAGCAAGGAGCGGGTATGGAGCTGACTGCCCTTCGTGATAGGGCCAGTCTGGACCCACCTTGACAGATGGCAAAGCCCTCACTCACTGTCACAGCTGCAGAGAAACAGAGCAGATTTTTTTCTAAGCATCTCTGGAGGCTGGGCCTCATTCCACTTGGCAGGGTGAAGTATTTATTTAAGTTTGTATGTACATGTTTATACTTAGAAAATTAGACCATATAAAATATTGTCTCATTTTACAGTATGCATGGAAGAATGTATTTTATGCCTTGTGGACACATTAGATGTTGGCAGTCAAACATGCTTTTTGTCTTACAGGAAATTTTGGCTGTTCTCAGGAAATTCTAAGCATTGCAGCCATGATGCAGATCCAGAATGTCTTTGTGATCCCCTCAAACCAGAAGTCTCAGGCAGTAAGTCCAACGTCCCCTGCACTGTTCGCCTTATTCTCGTTCACTAGGCGTGTTGTTAAAACTCACTCAGAAGCTGCTGAAGACGGAGCTGTGCCGAGGTTGTTGGCTCACATTTTGAGTGTTTACCGTGTGCCTGACATTGTGCTTAAGCATTTTATGTGCACAGTCTCATTTTATTTTCACCATAAACCTCAGTTGTGGATATTATTATCATCTTTCAAAGATACAGGCACAGAAAGGTTAGGTAACTCCTTCATGGTTGCACAGCTGGGATTGGCAGTGTTGGCTTTCAGGGTCTACAGCCCCAGACCTTAGACCTTCACCACTGCACTGCTGACTATTAGTTCCCATCAGGGAAATTGTCATCCAGGCTGCTCTGGCAGAATCCTTAGTAGGCACATTAGTGACATAATCAGTCAGGTGCCTGTGCCAAGCAGGCCGATTCTAGGCGCTGCACTGTCAGGGCGGTGCTGCAGGTGGGCATGTGGAGCTAAAATCCAGCCACCAAGACCTGCCTAGGGCACAGGCAGTAGTGCTGAGTGAGTGAGCCCTGGAAAGCCTGGAGGGAAAGCACTGGACTGCACTCAGCTGGCCAAGGGGAGGTGTCCCCTGGAGGCCACTCAGGTGCACTTGGAGTCCGCTTTCTGGGGAGAGCAGCCACCTTGCACAGGGGGAGAGTCTGGTGTGCAGTGAGGACACCTGTTTCACCCTCCCTGACAGCAGTTTGTCTGTACACTACTGTACCCTTCCTGCCTGTACCCAGATGGTAATGTCCTTTTTCTCAAGTTGTTTGTCCATTTATGAACTTTCGTGACAGTCTTGCCTCAGAGTGGACAAACTCACTTTCAAAAGGAGAAAACTGCATAGCAGGCCAGTGCCACTTGCCATCCAGAGACTGCGTGTTTTGCTCACTTACTTCATTTGTTGTCCTTCTCACCACTGTTTATTCACTGTTGTATTCCAGGTGCTTAGCACAGGGCCTGGCCTCTAGTAGGTACTTGATGGAAATCTCTTAATGAATGGGAGGAAGGAGGGGAGAAAGGGAGGAAAGTGAGTGATTATGTGACATTGGTTCAAGGATGAAGTCCTGGAGCTAAGGTGTGCATTAGTGTACTGCCCCTGGGGAACAAGTCGCACTGTCCAGGTCTTACAAAAAGAATTCAGGGATGGGCTCTGAAAGGATGTGCATCAGTGGTGGCCTAGGCTATGGAGTGTCCGCCATGTGCCAGCCAGCCAGCCAGCCAGCCAGGCAGCCCGCCCCCTGCCTCCTGGAGCCTGGGAGGAGTGTTTCTGAAAGAAGAGTCCTGCAGGACCAAGGAGGAGAGAGACGAGAATGCTCACACGCATCCTCCTCCTATTCCAGGTGCTTTATAGAAAATTATCTTAACCCACAGCAACCTTGATGGAAGGGTTTAATTCTTTGATTTTATAGATAAAGAAATTGAGGCTGAGAAAGGTGCATAACCAAGCTGAGGGCTTTCAGGTGTGGCACAGCTAGGATGGTGTGAACCAGGCCTTTCTGAATCTGCAGCCACATGCTGTTCGTTGCACAGGGTCACCCCCAGTAGGGAGGCCTGCAGGTGGCAGCTTCTCAATGGAGCTTTGTTCTTTCCAGATGCGGGTGCACCGAAAATTTGCTGTGGAAGAGGGCGATCACCTCACCATGCTCAATGTGTATGAAGCGTTTATCAAAGTAAGCAGACCACCACCAGGGGGACCCCCATACTGGAGCAAGGATCCCAGACATAAGATCCCAGAGGAGTGGCCAAGAGTCCCCTCTATTTTCCTATTAGATTTCTTGCCAGTGGGTTGGGCGTCCTGCCTGAGGTTCTGGAATGTATTGGTGGAAAGAGCTCGGGATGGCTTGGTGCTTTTCCTCACCCCAGTATGCTGTGCACGACAGCAGTGAAGACCCAGTCTCCTGCTCTGCCTGTGTCTCACGGGAGGCAGCATTTGAATAGGAAGTTCTATTAGATTTTCTGCCAGATGAGTGTGGCTGAGAGCACCTAGAGTCTTGGGTTGAATCTTCTCAGCTGCCGTGAGAAAACCTTTAGGTAAAGATTTATCTGTGTATATCCTCACATCCTACGTACCGTTTAGCAATAGGCATTTTTAAGTTTATTTTCAATGTTCCACACAATGAAGAGTAAATAATATAGCTTAAAGTTTTCTCTAAAAATTGTTCAAAAGAATGACCTAAAGTTGAAGAAAATGATGAAATAAATGACTTCATATAAAGGAAAGGGAATAATATTTCACATTTTTTATTATTTGTTTCTTAAATACTTTCTTAGAAGAGGAGAAGTAATCAAATTTTTATTTTACCAGCGATTTGAGGAAGATCATTCAGTTAGTGAATGATTTTCAGGGAAAAAACTCTATTGAGACTTAAAAATTAAAACTAGTTAAAATTTATTTGTATGAGTACAATGGACCATCTCCAATTTGAAGCTTTTTCTAGCAGTAGAATATGGATATAGGTGGACATTGCATTATTCTTTGGTTGCTTTTTTGGAAAATCTTCTATGAATTAAATTTTTTGTTTTAATTTAAAACTCTATTCTGCCTAGCTTAGAACATAATTTTAGAGAAACATTCCCCACAGCAAAAGTTTAATCTGAGGCATGATCACCTTTAAGAATGTAGAAGATAATTAAACACTACTGATGGAAAATTCATACTTTTTAGGGACAAATAATTCTGGTTTGCAGATTATTTTTGCATTGATAAGTGTCATATCACTTGCCTGTTGTTTAGTAAAATGATAAACTGAAACCTGCCAAAGAAAAGTTGCTGTGCAAAGGACACAGGAAACAGTTCCTTCTGTTAGTTCTGCCTCACACAAGTGCAGGTAGCTCTGCTTGTCCCTCAGCTCTCATTTGCTCTGTAGTGTGGAGACTGAGGTCACAGAGCAGTCACATGTGACATGGTGGTCAGCATCTGTTTGGAGAGATGGGACAAAAGGAAAGGCCAGTTATGATTTGAAGATCTTGTCTCATTGCACGAGCAAATGGTGAAAGAGGAAATAGTCATCTCGCAGTGCTGCCGGGTGTGGGCATTCCTGTGCTTTCCTAACGTTCCCTCTGTCTGGCTTGTTCTGTAGCACAATAAGAGCTCCCAGTGGTGCCAGGAACATTTCCTGAATTACAAGGGTCTTGTCAGAGCTGCGACCGTGAGAGAACAGTTGAAAAAGCTTCTTGTCAAGTTTCAGGTGCCCAAGAAGTCTAGCGAAGGTGAGAATGAGCTGCCCCGGGCATTAGCTGCCACAGTTGGGGACTTGCCTTTTTTGCTCTGTTAACTGGAGTCTTAGATTTCCCCTGCTGGCATGGTGGGGGGCAGCATTGTGCTGGGACCCGACACTGGTTTCATGTTTTTTAATAAATTACCTGCATCCATGAAAAGCTCAGTGTTAAGTTGATAATCTTCCCCAAGGAGGTCCATTTTTATTTTTGGGGTTGTTTTCACAAAAACAAATGTATAGTTTATGACAACACATTAACAGCAGCTTGTCTGTAGTCCCAGCAACTGGGGAGGCCCAGGCAGGAGGATTGCAGATTTGACGCCAGCCCCAACAATTTAGTGAGACCCTTCTCAAAATAAAAAGTAAAAAGGACTTGGAATGTAACGTGGTAAAGTATCCCTGGGTTCAATCCCTAGTAACCACTCCCCCCCCCCAACATTCACATTGTTATACATCATATAATTAATATAATCATGTAGTTATTTTAAGAATGAGCACTTTTTGAGGGGGAGGTACTGGGAATTGAACTAGGGGGCACTCGACCACTGAACCACATCCCCAACCCCATTTTGTATTTTATTTAGAGACAGGGTCTCACTAAGTTGTTTGGAGCCTTGCTGTTGCCAAGGTTGGCTTTGAACTCTTGATCCTCTTGCCTCAGCCACCTGAGCCTCTGGGATTACAGGTGTGCGCCACTGTGCTTGGGAAGAATGAATACTTCTTTTGTGTGTGTGGTACATGGAATTGAACTCCAGGGCACTCTACCACCCAGCTACAACCCCAGCCCTTTTTACTTTATTTTGCTATAAGGTCTTGCTAAGTTGCCTAGGCTGGCTTTAAACTTGTAATCTTCCTGCCTCAGCCACCCTATCCCCAGGAACTGGGATTATAGAAATGTGCCACTGTTCCTGGCTAAGAAAGACTGCTTGTAGTGGATGAAATGTATGGCTGTTCCATACAAATTACATTTTATTTTTATATACAAGCATAATTAAAGCTAGTACTATGTGATTAGCATAGGAAGTCACCGAAGGTAAGGCAGAAAGTAGTTCTGTATAAGACAGCCCCTGACCTCTAGCAGTGACAGTGAGGATCCTCTGTTAATCAAGGAGAGGGGGTTACACTGTGGCAAGGGCTCTACAGATATTCTCTCACCTCGTCTCCCACTGTGTGAGATGTAAGTGATTGTGTCCTTGCTTTATAGGACTCAAAAAGTCCTGGGGAGATGTTAACTGAAGTTCAGGGTTACGCAGGTGGTAATCAGTGGAGCCTGATCTGTTCAGCTCAGAAGCCCACATCCTTGTGGATGTTGCGTGCCAGACGCTCAGCCATGTTCTCACCCTGACTGGTACATGTGAACATTGCTCACTTGCTTCTAGTAGGCTGCTCATTATTCTGAGTGTTCCATATATTAATTCGTTTAATGCTCACAATAACCCTGTGAAATATGTACTGCTATTATCCTCACTTTATAGATGACAGAAATGAGGCTAAGAGCAAAAAGTAACCTGCTGAAGGTCACACAGTGAGCCTGTGGTCATGTTGACGACATTGATAGAAATAGGCATTTTTGCGGGGTAACTACTTGGAGAGAAGCTGATCAGCTTCCTGTTACCAGGCAGGAAAATGCCACGTTACTTCCACACCTGGGTATCTTAATCTGCTTTCCATTATCAACCCCCTGTTCAGGAAAAAAGTTATATTAAATTTAAGTTCTTCATAACAAGAAGAATTAAATGCTGAGTAATAAATTTTTCGATGAAGAGTTGGCTTTGGAGGGCCACAAACCATTGTAGTTTCTAAGCTGTTCTTTCCACCTCCACACCCAAGAGCCAGTTTTCATCTTTTGGAAGTGACATCGCCCCTGAGATGAACACATGTTTTATAAGGTCATTTCTGAAGGGCATTTAGAGAGAAGGGACTGAATCTTTGATCAGATGATGGTGAGAAATGTAGATTTGGGATCAGTCAGTTCTGTACTTAGGAACAGTAAAGAAGATCATAGAGACTGAATAAATTATAGGCACATTTAAAACATGTAGATATTAAAAAGCAAATATTAAAGATATTTTCAGTAGTCATGAGATAAAAGATAAAAACATTTGATAAATGAACAAAGGATTAGCATATAAAATTCACAAGGCTAGGTAATGTGGCACACACTTGTGATCCCAGCAACTTGGGATCTGAGGCAGGAGGATTGCAAGTTTGAGCCAATCTCAGAAACTTAATGAGACTGTGTTTCAAAATTTAAAAAAAAGGTTGGGATGAAATTCAGTGGTAGAGTGCCCCTGGCTTCAGTCCCCAGTAAGGGTTGGGGGGGGAATTTAAGTAAAAATAAAAGACAAGATGAAATTCATGAATAAATATATAGCTACCAATCAAATAAATATAAAGTAAAAGAAGGTAACTTTGTATGGGGGTGGGTGTTTGCTGGGGATTGAACCCAGGCCTGATGTTTGCTGCACAAGCCGCCTACCACTGAGCTACACCCCCAGAGGTAACCCTTTTTGCCAAAACATTGTTGGTAAGAGTACAGTGAGACTGACATATTTGTATATTGTTGATGACTTTGTAAGTAGCACCACATTTAGGGAATTTGTTTGCCAACAATTATATTTCATTGGATCTAAAATACCACCATCATTATGTACCAGAAAGAAAGAAAACCATGCTACAGGGGGCTGGGGTTGTGGCTCAGCTGTAGAGCACTTGCCTAGCATGTGTGAGGCCCTGGGTTCGATCCTCAGCACCACATAAAACTTAATAAATACAATAAAGGTGTTATGTCCAACTACAACTAAGAAATAAATATTTTTTTAAAAAAGAAAACCATGCTACCACTGTAATTGTAAATGCTATTCTGATCCAGTGATTTGAAAAAAAAAAGTGAATCTTAAAATTAATGAAAAATGATGTGTCATAAGCCATAAAAATGAGACTATTCTTTCGCATAATCATTTGGAGTTTATCTTGTGGATATCATCTAAAACATGGAGCTTTATTCATGAGGGATGTTTTCTGTATCAATAGAAATACCAATGAAAATGGAATATTTGGAAATTTTGAAGACTTGTACACTATAGCTTATAACCTCGGAAATGATGTAGAATATTTCAGTTTGTGCCTTATGGAAAGAATATCATTCCCACAAGGTGCAGACCTACAGAGGAATTCTGAGGTAACTGGCCAGCCTGTGTACTAACTCTCTTAGGGTCTGGTGTCCAGCCTTCATCCAGTCCTCTGAGGCCTGGAAGTGTGGAATGGCCCCAAGTTCAAGGAGCTGTCCTGCATTATTGTTCTCAGCAGCGACTGTGGGAGTGGGGACCTCTTCAGATGGTGCCAGGGTGTCTTGCAGCAGCCTGGGGTGGGGCCAGGACTGGGTCCTGTGCCTCACGGCACAGGCCTGAAGAAGTGGCATGTAGGGCAGGTGAGGGTCTCATCTGTTGCTCTTCTGGTGTTCTGTGTGCAGGTGATCCTGATCCCGTCCTGAGGTGCATTGTTTCTGGATTCTTTGCAAATGCAGCAAGGTTTCATTCTACCGGAGCTTATAGGTAACATAATACTTTCTGAAGTCATTTGTTAAAAAAGAAACCTTCAAAATGACCCTCCCCCCCAAAAATGCACAAAATGCTGATTGCAGAAATTGTAGAGCAGTTAATTATTTTTAATTTAAATCATGTTTCCCTCGAAAACTGAGTTGAGGTTAGTTATATGGTTTTAAGCAAATTGCCTCGACTCTCTGGAAGTGGGAACCTATCCCCCTGTTGTAATTCTTGTTTTGGAAGGACAGCAGTTACATGCTGGAGGCTGGCACTGTCTCAGCTCCCATTAAGGAATGCTGGGTCTGGAGGAAACCATTAAAGATGGTGTTTCCTAGAGAAGTTACTTTGACTGCTGGGGAGTCCATTTTGTCTGTAGAGCTCGGTGGGACACACTGGTACCTGGTGTCTGGAACTTTGAAAGTGTTTCTAGGTATGGCAAACGTGCTTCCTGCTGCAGTCTGCATTCTCTTTCTTCCATCCCATTTTCTAGGCATAGAAAATTGCTGATTATTGATACCTACATCAGCCTCACTGTATTCAGATATAGTAAAAAACTGAAGTGTTAGTTTAGCCTTCTTTTCTCCAAATTAAATCATTCTGGCTCTTGGAGCAGATGCTTTAGTCTGCCTCTTCTATGCCGTGGCTCATTGTAGTCTCCTCCCTTCACTGTAGGCTGTCAAAGTGTGGCTGTCATCATTTCCTCATTTTCTCAGCTCTTTTTCTGGATGTCTTCTCTATATTATTTTGCCATTAGTTTTTTTTCCCCCTTGAGAAAATAGTGAAATCCTGTTCTTAAGGCCAATCAAGAGATCCCTTTCCCTGAACACTAGGCTTCTGTTAAAGTGTCTAGAGTTCAGTGAGCATTTAGTTTTTTGGCAGCACTATCTGCTGCATCCAGCATCCTGGTGGCTGGCTGAACTTTAAAGCGCAGCACTGACAGTTATCCATAGTGTATTCTGTTGGCCTGGCCCATCTTTGTGGGGACTCTGAGCCCCTCCCATATTGAGTCCTCTGTGTTTGAGGCAGTCCTTCCAGGAGGCCAGAAGGTGGGATCACCCCCTGGAGAGGCCTGAGCTCTTCTCCAGTGAGAGTCCTTGACTTGTCACCTTGATTGGCTTATTCACCCTCCCTCTCCTGAAGACACGTCAGCCATTTCTGCAGGCATTCTAAACATTGTAATAGTGCCCTTAAAAACAACAACAAAAACCAGGAGCTTCATGAGAGGTTCTAAGGCCAGTTATTCCTTTGAGACCAAGTTCATTGTGGGGTCAGCTCCCATCATTTGGGACAGCCAGAGCCCCCAGGCTACTGGTTTTATTGTGGCGCCGGCGATGAGCTTAGACCTGTGTTGGAAGCACTTCCCCTGATGAAACAGATTCCCTGGTGCCATGAGAAGTTCTGGACGGTGGCATCCTGTAAATGTTCTCCTGTGATCTGGTAGTTATAATTCTTAATTCAATTGAATAAAACTCATAGTCCAATACCGAGCTTGAACACGTCTTACCCCTCTTATATCCTTTAATTATGTAAAATAGGAAAGCGTATAGAAAAAATCATATTATTTCTGCCCAAAGGAAATTGTTTGAAAGAGAACACGAAGAACATAAACTCAGGCAAAGTATTATATTCCTAAATGCTTTTTGGAGGGGCCACGTGTTGCTTTTCTTCCTTTTGTATGATTTATTTCTGACTCCTGGGGTGGCAGCGGGGGAGGGTCAAGGAAGGGCACAGAGAAGATATAGAGAATTGTTTCATTCAGTGAAGTTGAATCTGTCTGCATTTTTTTGTTAATATTAGAAATATCTGTGGGAAAGTCTTGCTGTCAATTCTTAAAATGTGCTTCAGATGAAATTCTTCTGTCTTCCAAGGACTATCCGGGATGATCACGAGCTGCACATCCACCCTGCGTCCGTCCTCTATGCAGAGAAGCCGCCTCGATGGTGAGCCACTCTTGCTGCTTGGAAGCAGGGCCTGATTCTTGTTCAACTCTAGGTCCCCAGGTCCTGGCACAGGCCCTGGAGCCCAGGTGCTCTGTATGTGTTTGTTGAATGCATCTTATGCTGAGTTGTGTGTAAACTTCTGCTCCACCAAAGGTCCCTTTACGCAGACCCATGTGTGTCTGCTCACTCGTCCTCTCAACAGGGGTTCACTGTCACTCACTGCCCAGATGCTTAGCCCTGCACAGCTGTGCAGAGATGACTTGGGGTCCAGCCCTAGTTCTGATGGAGACAGGCCCAGATTGATTCCTGTATTGTAGAAGGACTTTGCTTGAGGGATGTATAAAGTATGGGCACTTCAGGTGCCAGGAAGAGTCACTTCATGGACAAGGTAACATTTACTCTGGACTTGGAGACAAAGTTTTTCAAGCAAAAAAGGACCCACAGGGCATTCAGACTGAGGAAATAGGGTGAGCAACCTGGAGCAACATCAAAGAACTTCCTGTCTTTGGGGAATGGGGAATCACTGTGGCCGGCCACGGCTGCCCCAGGGGTGGCCTGTGAAGGGGTGCCAGCCTGTAACCCCTGCCGGGAAGGAAGAAGTGAGTGCAGAGGTCAGATGAAGGCATTCAGATATTTTTATAGCATTTTGACAAGTTGTGCTTATGTCTGCCCAATTTAAAAACTAATAGATTTGGGCTTATATTTTGTGTCTTTTTAAAATTTTAGTTTTTAAATAATTCATTTATATTGTATTTTACAAAAATATTGATTGACAATGGACCGGAAATTTTAAAGACAACCACCGGTCCTGTAACCAGTTGGAAGACAGAATCCTGGGGAAAGGGGAGGGGTGCATGTATGGAGAGAGGGAAGGAAAGTGGCAGGAGATAAAATTAGAAGGTAGAAAGTTCTGGCAATAAATACTTTGTGCCAGTAGTTTTCAAAGTATGGCCTCTAGACCAGCAGCAGCATCTCCTGGAAACTTGCTGGAAGTGCAGACTCAGGCCGTGCCCAGTCCGCCTGAGTCAGAACTGCAGAGAGGGGCCCAGCACTCTACTTAAGTGGTGCTTCACATCAGTGGTGAAGTTGAGCTCTCACCTAGATCAAGGGGGTAGGCTGTCCTGTAACCAGCACAGGCCTAGAAACTTTCAAGGTGGAGAGCAGCTTGGTCAATTCTGGATTTAGAAATATGGTCATTGGTGTACAGGTCAAATTGGAGATCTCAATTCTGAATCTCCTATAAAGATCTGCTGACTTTTGGTTATTTAAATTTGGGAGTTGCTTAAAAGAAAAATGTTTTTCTTTTTCCTGTTTCATTTCCAAGGAGCTTCACACGGAGGTGGAGCTCCTTGGAAATGAAAGGGAGGTGGATAATAGAGCCCGTCTGGAGCAGACCTGTGCCTCTCAGTGCCTCTCCTCCGAGGCCTCTGCAGAGGGTCCTTCCTTTTCATCAGCTGGGACTCATTTACTCTTTCTAAGGGGTAGCAGAGTGTGGCTGGGCATTTATGGTTCTGAGGAATGCCCTGAATCAACACTTAAAATAGCTCAGAAACTAGTTATGTGCTCCTGAAGTCTGGTGATTTGAAATTACATTCTTGGTTCAGATGATTCAGTCTTTTTGTCCCCCCATTAAGATATCATTTATGAACAGTGAAAGATGAATTTTGACAAATGTGTACCTCCATGAAATTCACACTCTAAATAAGACAAAATATTTTCATCACTCTGGAAAGTTCTTTGTGTCTCTGCAGTCATTTCCCTGCCCTTTTCATGATCAGGCATCTGCCTTCATTTCTTATATTGTCTAATTATGTCCTCAAGTTTCGTTCAGAGCTATATAAACATACAAAGGACCAGAAAGGTCCTTTACAGGTAACTGAGATGTCCTAGAAATCATGTGGGACTCAGAGTCTTCTCTGTGAAATGTACGCACTGTGACCCACGTGCTTAGGGAGTGGTATGCATTGCAGGTGTTCAGTGCTTTTGTACACGGAGTTTGGAGTACACACCTGCAAATGATTAAGGAAAGGGACTCAGCATCTCTAACTATGGTTCCTGACCATCCTGAGACATGGGAGGATGTTCCATGTGCCGAAGTCTGGCTTGGCACAAATCAGGAGCCACTTGTCAAAAAGAAACTAACTTTATTTTTAGAACTACAAACGCCAAACAAAACAGCTCCAGGGAAAAACTCTCAGAGCCCAACTGCCACCACCGGCTTCCACAAGCCTCTCTCCCCCACACCAGCCTCTCAACCTCCCACAATCCTCCTCTCTTGAGGCCGATTGGCTGGGTTGCGTGGGCAGAGCCAAAGAAGTCACCCAATGAGCAGCTCCGTGGAGGAGCCAATCAGCTAGATGTTGCTGGGGCCGCTGTGAGCCAATCATCAGCTGGCAGTCTGAAGGGCAGGGAAACAGCCCAATGAACATCACCGCAGAGGAGCCAATCAGCTAGATGTTGCTGGGGCAGTCTGAAGCTTGCTGGCAGCTGGAAGTTTGCTGGGGCCCCTTTCGCTGTGGCTCTCAACACCATGTCTTTCTCGTTTCAGGGTCATCTACAATGAAGTTATACAGACCTCCAAGTACTACATGAGAGATGTGACTGCCATAGAATCTGCATGGCTGTTGGAGCTGGCTCCACACTTTTATCAGCAAGGAACGGTAGGAATGAACAGATCTTGTCCCCCAAACCACCTGTAGGCGCTGGTTTATTTTGTTAAATACATATTTCTTCTTCATTTTAGTTCTCTTAATCCCCTCTGCCTCCACCCATGGTGCATAGGATGAAAAGGCCATTTCATCACCCGGTTCCCCCAAATGGGGTGAAAGCATGTCCGTCATTTGCTTTATAAGGAAGTACAATTAAAAATGAGTCCGTCCAGCCTCTTCAGGGGAAAAAACCCAAACCAAAACAAACATATCTCCAGCTCTTCTTTTCTCCATTTGCTCCTAAAGAAGTTATCTCACACTTGAGACCTACATTTAGAGTAGCTCAGATATTCTCTAATAAGAATTGCCTCACAGACACTATGAATAGGTGTGCAGGCTTAAACCCAAGGTAGTTTACCATTTGGTGGGTGAGACCTGGCCCATGTAGAGTCCTCTGTGTTCACTCTTCTGCCATGGCAGGTCCCATACAGGACGAGCAGGGTAGTGAACATTTTGAGCAGATTTATAGTTTTGTTTTCTTCTTCACTTTTGCCAAAAGTGGTCCATTCATTGCCCTAAAAAAAGAAAGGCCATACATTCTTCTAACAAGATTTTCATTGAGGGATGGTTGTTAATATTTGGAAGACTGACAGGTAAATCAGATTTCACAAGCTTTCCGGCTGACTGTGACTCATAGACTCAGTATGTTTGTTCTGCGTTGTGTTTTTAATTGGAGTGTCTAGTAAATTAATGTAGTTATCAATATGGTTAGACTTAAGCTACCACCGTGCTGTTTTTTGTGTGTCTGTTCAGCTTATTCTTTGTTCGTTCTTTTTCCTGCCTGCTTTCACAGGCACATGCCCTGTTCTGCAAATTCTAGCTGTTTCAAGGGTTCTTTTAGTATTCTATTTTATATCTTTAAGTAGTCTTTTATACCTCTTGTTTCTTTACTTATTCATTCATTTATTTTTTTAGAGTTGCTCTTGGAATTGCAATAAGGCATCCACAGCTCATCACAGTTGACTTTGAATTAGGGTTACACTACTTAGCTTCTAATGTAAGAAATCTATAATACATTTCATTTTCTCAATCTCATTCTTGGGGCTGTTGTTTTTATATTTTATTTCTGCATATATTTAAACCCCACAATACATTGTTACTGTCATTGTTTTAAACAATTAGTTGTCTTTTAAGAGATTAATAAGAAAAAGCGAATGTTTGCATGTTGCCCAAATATCTGCCATTTCAGTGCTGGACCCCGTGTCTTTCTGGCATCTTTCCCCTTTAGCCTGAAGAGCTTCCTTTACTGTATCTTGGTTCACGACTCCAGTGAACTGTTCTCTCAGCATTCATTTATTTGAAAATGTCTTCACTTCATCATTGTTTTTGAAAGGTATTTTTTGCTCTGTAGAATTCTAGTTTGAAAGATTTGTTGTTTGCTTGTTTTATTTTAGCATCTTAAAGTTTATTCCTTGCCATCTGGTTTGCGGCGTCTGAGAAGCCAGCAGTCGTTTTCATGGTTGTTCTCTGTGTGTAACGAGTCTTCTCCTCCCCTCCCCCTGCCCAGTGCCTGCTTTTAGGTGTTTTTTTTTTTCCTTTTTTCTTTCTTAGCTTTATCTTTGATTTTTTTTTTTTTTTTTTGGTGGTTTTGGGGATTGAACCCAGGGCCTTGTGCATGTGAGGCAAGCACTCTACCAGTTGAGCTCTTGTCTTTGATTTTTGGCAGTTTGACATGGGAGATGTCTTTCTTTGTGTTTGTCTCACCTTGGAGTTCATTGAGTGTGATGGTTCTTTGAGCTGGTTTTCTTAAATCGTATTTGGGAAATTTGGGACAATGATTCCTTGAAATACTTTTTTCTGCTTCAGTGCTCTCTCCTTCCTGGAGCACAGCTACTTGTGCAGGAGCTCTTGATATGGTCTCACACCTCACAAGGCTCTGGTCCTTGTCTCTGTGCTTCAGTTTGGACGGCTGCTCTTGACCTGTCTTCAGGGTTACTGATCGGTTTTGCAGTGTCCAGTACCTGCAGAGAATGTTTCATTTCAGCTATGTATTTTCCCATTCTAGAATTTTCATTTGATTCTTTTTTAGTTTTGTTTTTATAATCTCTGCTGAGATCCTTCATGTGTTCATCATATGCATTTTTTCCTTTAAATCTTTGATGAACATATTTATAATAACTATTTTAAAGTCTTGTCTACTAATTCAACATCTCTGTCATTTCTGGTATATTTTGTCTTTGTGTTCTTCCTCATAATTGACCACATTTTCCTTCTTCTTGTACCTAGTACATTTTTGTTGTAGGCTGGATATTATAGATGTTATGTTGTAAAATCTGTGTTTTGTTTCCTTTTCTTATAGAATGTTGACTGTTATTCTGGCACTCAGTTAGTTACAGGCACATCATTTGATTTTGCTGAGCCTTGATCTTGGTCTTCATAGGGTAGGTCTTAGTCATCTGCTTGAGACTTGGCCTTTTGGTATCTCAGTTAAATGGCTAGGATATTCAGTGAGGGCTCTGCCAGGTCAGAGAGCCATCGTACCCAGCACATTCAGGCCTTCAGAATCTCCATTTCTGCTTTTAACTCCCCAGGAACTGTCCTCTGCCATTCTTATTGAATCTTATATTTATTGAATCGTATCGCTTAATGTTCAGCCAGTGTCTACAGGGTAGCCTTGTGTGGACTTCCGGAGCTCCCCCTTTATGATGCCCTATTCAGCAAATTCAGTTCTGAGCTCTTGTCTCCATTTCCTCTGTTTTATGATTAGAATTTACTTCTCTGGCCAAGGTTTAGAGACCTAGAAAGAGATTCAGGATGAGTATGAAGCTCACCTGTTTCTTTTTCAAAGATCACAGCCTCCGATGGGCCTGTAGCTCAGTAGTAGAGTAGGTGCTTAACATGCACCAGGCCCTATTTCATTCAGTCTCTAGCACCAGCACCGTGTGTGCATCCTCTCTCTCTCTGTCTCTCTCTCTCACTCACACACACACACACACACACACACACACACACACACAAACACACAAAGGCATGATAGCACGGTGCTGTTTGTTTTCCAGTGCTGAGAAGCATTGCCTTCAGATGTTTTGTCTGGGTTTATGGTTTTCCAGCATAAGGGAAAGTCCAAAACCTCTTATTCCATTAGGGCTAGAGCTGGACTGCACAGTATTTTCCAATCAAAATTTGAGTTGATTGTTGTCTTTAAAAAGTGGGAGATTTAAGCTAGTCTCAGTGACACATGCCTGTAGTCCCAGCTACTTAGGAGACTGAGGCAGCAAGATCACTTGAGCTCAGGAGTTCAAGGCCAGCCTGGGCAACACTTTTTTTTTTTAAGGGAGATTTCATATTAAATATGTTTCTGTTTTCTCTTGAAAAAAGTATAACATTGTGCCTGTGATTCTGCATGCCGGCTGTCGGGCTGAGGAGTGACTTCCTGCTGTAGATGCCACAGTCCTACGTCCCTGTTTAATTCATTTGAGTTTGTGACCCTGGGAATGGATGGGTCTTCTCATCCCTCCTCCCCTGTAAGGTCAAGGGAAATTGCCCTTTGCAAATCTACATAAGATCTAATCTTATCCAAACAAAAAACAATTCCAACCTCTACAGTTCTTCACACATCCTAAACAGGTGTGTCCGCCAGAAACCAGATCAACTGCAGGGGCTGATGAAATGCAGAGAGTGCTGTCCCTGCCCTGTTGGGTTGGTAAGAATAAACCTGTAGTGAAAGAAAATCTTTTCCTTCCAATCTCTCCTGTGGAAAACAACAGACTTCAGAGGCAGAGAGGTGATTAGCAATGCAAACTAGAATGTCGAGAAGCCGCTGTAAAATGCCTGCTGAAGCAGTGCCTAAGGAGACCAGGCCTGCTGTTGTCCCACACTGTCCTGGGTTCCCAGGGCTCTTGGAGAGCAGAATTAACCACATCACTTTCCCTTCTCAGCTCAAAATTACAGTTTCTTTAGGTCAACCCCGCAAAGTTTAAAGAGCAAACAGCTCTAGAAGTTTGAAGAAGACAAGCCCAAATTTTCACACTTATTTTTTTCTCTCCAAATGCCTGGTTTTCAGCCCATCACTTTCACCGTGATCAGCATTTTTAAAAAGGCTGGGACCTTTAGAAACCACCAGTGCAGCGGCCTCCTTGTACAGTGAGGGTCCCCAGGTCCCCAGGTCCCCCTGGTTAACAGTAGTGCAGAGGAGCTTCTGCTGTTAAGTTTTCCAAAGCAGATGGCCTTGCCTGGGACTCTCCGGATCTCCAGGGACTGCCCATGGACTGTCGATGTTCTTTGGTGAACATAGACCATATACAGCCCACGGATCGTCTATGCTCTGTTCCTGGCACCCTAGGTGACGTTACATCACTTGTTTTTCAGAATGTCACTCTTCCCTATAAAGAGGCCTGAAATGGTTCAGATTCAGCTTTGTTTATGCTCAACATTCCTTCCAGAAATGAGCACCAAAAATGGCCTTGTAAGCACAATGGCGTCATCTTCCATTCTCAACTAAGGCTGTGGGTATCTAACCTTAGTTGGAGTGAAGTATCAGGTGAAGTACAGAGAGGAGAGAATTCAGAGGATAAATACAGCAAGAATAGGGTGACCTGTTCAGAGATTTGCCTTCCCATCTGCAAATTGTTTTTGTGTTTCTCAAAGTTATCTTCGTTGTCTGGGAAAACCCTTCCCTGGTCCTCCTCAGGCAGGAATAGATAGAAAGTCTGTCGTCCTGCTGCTCACCCGGTCCCGCAGTCCTTTCTCACCTTGTACTTGGCAGTGTGCGCGTCTTCTTTCCACCCTGTATTTGCTCGGGGACTGCAGTTCTCTGTGGGGTGGTGGGACTTGCTCTCGTGAGGCCCTGTGTGTGCTGAGAAATGGGGTTTGGGCCCTGAGAAGTTGGGGTGGGAATTCCCCCTGTGAAGAACTCACTGTGTGCATGGGTCTTGGTATTCATTTATGATTATTGATGGAGCATCAGATGTCCCTCAGTTGGTGAGTGGCTGTCCCTTATTAGAAGCTTATGTTTACTCACTCTGCCTCAAATGCATATTTCAGGATTTCTATCACTTTGGGTTTTACCTTAGAATATTTTTATCCTTTAATCCTATTATCTAATACCCATGATTATGTTAGTGAGATTCGTATGTTATGTATACTGACAGTGACATTTCTGGGGGGAAAATACTGTCACTAGGAGGTGTCTGTTTCCTGCTTGGCTTCTTAGCTGGTGTAACCCCCACTGTGGGCGGGGCCATGGCTTTAGCTCCAGTGAGCACAACAGGTACCTGGCATGTGGAGATGCTGGCTGCATTGGCCCATTCCTTTGTTTCTAAAGGGAGGTACTTTTCCGTAACCATTCTCAAAAACCTCTTGGAAAGCTGAGGCCATCCTCTGCTGAGGCCAGCCCTCGAGCACAGGCCTTGGGCTTCAGTGCTGCCTGGGCGCTGGGCGGAGGGGAGGCAGTTCACTGGCAGCCTCTGGAGTGCTGTGGGGCCAGCTTCTGTCTTGGTGGGCCGGCTCCAGCTGCTTGTGGCCTCCTGAAGTCCTGTTTCCTTCATGGGTCACTTGGGCTTTCCCGCTCCAAGCTTTTTTCTGAGGGACACAGCATTTCCTGAGAAGGCGTGGACTGGGTGGAAGACTTGATTTGGTCACTGACTTGGGAATTATGTTGGAGTCTGGTGTCCTTGTCCAGTTAACCCAACTATGATGTTTTCTCTTCTCTTGCAGCACCTGTCCCTGAAAGCCAAAAGGGCCAAGGTCCAGGACTTGTGAGCTGAGCTCAGTTGCAGTAGCAGTGACTGCTTGGTGGCCTCTTTTCCTTGCTGTCACTGGCCTCTTTCTTCCCACCCCTGCCAGCATTTGCCTCTTTGCTGAGATCCAGAGAAGTCCGTGCATGGGCAGACGTACCACGCACCGCACTAGGCGGAATGGGAGTGGGCCAGGCGGCTCTTGGGCTGGTCAGCACGCTCACTGGCCCAGCAGGCTACTGGCAGCAGGCGCACAGTCCTGGCCCAGCTCTTGGAGAAGGAGGAAGAAAGCCAACTGCTGAAGGCTGCAGTGTCACGTGGGGTGGACAGAGGCTCTGCTGGGCCACCTTTGCTTCCCTGCTGTGGCCATGGCTGAGTTGACCAGTGAGGACCTCTGCTGGATGTGCACAAGCGTGTGTGGTGAAGGCAGGGGACCTTGGAAATGCTGGGGATTTCTGCCAGGATGGCCAAGGGTCAGGTCTGCCAGGGGTCCAAACTGAGCAGCTTGTGTCTATCTTATGCCTGTGTCCCTGCTTAACTGTGGCCAGGAGACTGACAAGGGATTGGTGTCTACAGGAGGACTCCCGTGCACCATCCCCGGTAGCCGTGGATTTCTGTCTTTCACAGTGGGCCGAGCTTTCTCTCAGAGCTCAGTGCCACGTCCTGGTGCCAGAGCTGAGCACTGGCGAAAGCCCACCAGCTCTGACCCTCAGGGCTCCTCTGTAGCAGGAATTCACTAAGTTTAGCTGCTCTAAACTTCTGTAGCTCAGGAACGTAACTCTCGTCTCTGTCTCTGTTTGTCCACGTGTGTTCTCGGGAGAACACGGTGGCTCTTCCAGCAGGCACTGGTTTCCTTGTTGCCCCTGTGGCTGCTGAGTTGATGACTGCTCCTCAACATGACGATGCCGTGTCCCCTTACTGTTTCAGTGACAATTATTTTAAAAACACGTAGCTTGAAAATTTATTTTTATACTGGTTTTAGTTTGGATGTGCCACTTTTGGCATCAAACCTGTGTGGCATTTTTATTTCCATTTTATAAACATGTAAATAGTAGTGATGACTTGTTAATAATGGTAAACCTTTATACCTAAAATACACAGATTCCCTCCCATCTTAGATGTCATGGTCTTTATTTTAAGATGGTCCCATGAATTATTCCGTGCGAGGGCCTGATATTGTCTAAAAACCCTGATGCAGTGGCATCCATCAGCTTTGGGGTTACATGGACACAGGAAGTTCCCCTCCCCATAACGTGCACTGACGGGCCTGAGTGCCCTTGAGAGTTGGAGCCATGGGATGCTGCTTAAAGGAAGACCCAGAGAGGTATCATTTCTTGCTCCCTGGGATCTTTCTGTGTAGAGCTCGGAGACATCTTATTTTCAAAGGTTCTGTTGCAGTAGAAGGGGAAACATTTCAGGATCCACACCCTAAGGTTTGAGACCAGAGATCCAAAATGGGGGGCACTTGGAGGGTGGCAGACAGAAGCCACCCGCCTTTCCTTGCCGCCTTTGTCTTTGGGTGCCTGATCATGAGTACACACTTCCCATCTGTGCCTCTGGTTCTTAGAGGGCAACCGTCACCAGAGCAGGGCTTCCAGTTTTGTATCCTGTGTTATGTTACAGCCTTGGGGATGAAGACGGATCTTCATTGTCAGAATCTGAAACTTCAAAATCCCGAGCCCTTGTCTGGGAGCCCTTTACATAATTCTGCATTTGTGGTCTGTACAGGCCTTGCCGCCAGCTCCCTCCCACAGGTGATTTCCCTATATGTGGGATGTTGCCATCACAAGGAGCCCCTACTTCTGTCCGCTCCTGTGGGTCACAGTCCAGCCAGCAAGTGGAGGTTGAGCCAAGCGCTGTGTGTACAGGGGAGTGGGGAGATGCTGGTCAGTAAAATGTGGGAAGAGTGGATCAGAACAGATGCGGTGATGGTGATACTGGGTGGTAGTCTTTTAAAAAATATGTTCCTTGGAAAAATAAAATGCCAACAATCCTACATCATCCACCTGATCAAAAACCAATTCAAAATGAAAACAAAAACTGATGAAATCTCTGTCTGGGAACTCCTGGGGTGTGGGCAGCCTGGACTGTGGGCCAGCTGGCGACACCCTACCAGGCGCGATCACTCTGGGAATAGGGATCTAGATGCCAAGCAGCTGAATTTCCAGTGAATTCTTGGTGCAACAGGGTTACCTGCCTTTATGTCTCACTGGAAGGATTCAGGTTAGCTGGTCTCCAGCCCATATCCCTTCTTCATCTCAAGATCAGCTGTTCCACTCCAGTGACTCACCTGGATTTTTCCTTAGCCTTCTGGCTTGTGATGAAATGATGGTGGAACTTTGGATTACTTGACAGTTGAATTTTTTTTTTCCTTTGAGTCATTGGAACTGTAACTAACCAATTAAATCGTTTGACAGACACCTGGCCACTTGGGGTGAATGGCTAGTTTGCCTGGCAGGTGGGCAGGAGGGCAGTGGTCCCTGGTCCTCACCGTCATTGCTTCCACCAGCAAGCAGGGCTGCCGTGCTGGCACCTGGTGAATCACGGAGAAGTTACCTCATGCCCTCTTGGGTGGTACTCACTTGTTCAGACAGGCTGTCTCCTTGCCTGCTTAAGTGGGACCAAAGCGATTCCCAGGGCAACACCGCCCCTGGGCCCTCTGGCATGTGTGGCCTCTCTCTCACTTGCACTTCTCCCGAAGTCTATGGGCGAGCTGACAGGCTGGGAAGTAGGAGACTCACAAAGGAGTGGGGAGGTGGGGACAAGGTTCAGTGGTTAATGCCCCAGAGTCTCCAAAGCCAGGGGAAGACCCAGCACTGGCTACTCCTAAGGCTTCTGAGGCCCTGTCCATTGACCACGGCCCAGTCAGCAGCTCTGAATACAAAGGTCCTGGCCAGGCCCTTTGCTGGCCTCAGCCTGATGCGTGAACCAGTACTTGATCCAGTGGCAGCCTCGACGCCTTCCTGCCTCCTGACTACTGCTGTCAGGACCCCAGGGACCTAAGGGCAGGTGGGGGCTGATGGGGACTAGCCAGCCCTCTGCTATCTATGCCTTTTCTGTCCCTCTTTTTGTTTCCACTTGGGACTGTGTTTTTTCCCCTTAACCTGCCTGACTTCTGCATCATTCCCTTTTTCCATGAAGCTTTAAGAAAAATACAGATGTGATTTTATTTTTATATTCAATATTATTTTTCCCTTAAGATTTATTTTAACTTCTTAGTGTCTTTTTACACTCTGCTTGTTTACTTCTAACTTTTATTTTGAACACTTAGGTACAAAAAAAGTCTCAGGTAGTTTTGTTCTTCTGTAAATATTTTCTTCATTTAATATATTAGTTTGGACTCAGTGATTTCCCTCCTGTTTTCCTTTACTCCTTTCTTCTTAGTGTGTTTGCTTTAGTGGTTGGCAGAAGGCCTGCTGGTAGGTGTGGGAGATGAGAGAAGACATTTGCAATAGATAACACCAATCAATGATCACATGTCAGGAATGCACAAGAAGCTCCTATAGGTCAACAAAAAGAACCCATATAAGAAAAAAATGGGCGAAAGGGGGTGAACAGGCAGACCCCAAATCCATCAAGCCAACACCGGTGCTCAAACTGAGAAGCACCAACTGAAGTAATAATTAGGTGTCGCTTTGCATTCAATAGATTAGCAGAAGTTGGAAAGGTGAGTTGTGGGAATGTGGGCTGAGATTCAGAGACTGCTGCCCGTGGCCAGTGTGGCTGTCCTGGAGAGCGGCCCGGCACTACTCACCAGTGAAGTACATGCCTGCTCATGGCCCAGAAATTCCACTTCTGTTGTGCGTTCCCAACAAAAGTCTCCCCTGGTGCATAAAAGAAATGTGTAAGAATGGTCCCTCAGTGTGATGGGTGGTTGTGGGACTGTGTCCGTTGCTGGGAGAGTGCAGAGAAATGTAGTGGATGATGTTGTGGAGTGCAGCAGAGCAGTTCCAAGTCACACACAGCAGATGATACAGCCCTCAAAAATAGCTCAGTGGAAAAAGTGGGAAACGTGATAGTACTGTTTTCAGAAACTGAAAATACGTGCACACCAAAGGCAACACGGAGATGGCAGAACTGCAGACCAACAAGGCGCTGCACACTAGGGTGTTGCCTGTGGGGGTGGGAGTAGGGAGACGGGGGGAGGGGGGGAGAGGGGATAAAATGGTGAGACCCTGCCTCAAATTTTCAAAAAAGGAGCTGGATATGTAGCTCAGTGATAGAGCACCCCTGAGCACAAACCCTGGTCCCAAACCAAACGAAGGGAATAAGTCTAGACAAAACCACATGGGGTGAAAGAAGGAGCCCCGAGTGCTCATCCACAAGAGATCTGGATGACTCCCTTCTTACCCTGGGTTTCGGGTGTATTTACCAATGGCTCCTGTGAGTTGCGAGGTCCTGGGGTGGGCCTCAGGGGGCCTGCTGCTGACCTCCCAGTTCAGAGCCTGGCAGGATCCACTCCACCTGGATGGAATGACCTGGCCAACATCGTGAGACCTCTTGAGGTTTACGTGCCCTGTCACAGCACGCCGTTATTCAGGTATGTGCCCTGTGGTCCCCTCTTAGCTCGTGTTTATTCTGCGGGTCCCACGGTGGACTTGGTTTTCACTGTAGTCTGAAGGCCAGCCACGGGGCTGCCACAACCACTGGGGAGCGGAAGGCCCTGTGGTTCCTTCTAGTAGAGGTGAGTGAGCTCACTGAAAGTCCTCGCATGTGTAGATAAACAGATACCAGAACAGTGGTAGTTTGTGGGACTAATCTGGACACAGATCTTCCATATTTCTAGGAGAGGAACTGGCAGGACACATTTCATCCCTGAGTCCTGCCTGCTGCTCAGCAGCTTGAAGATGGAACATACATTCATGCCTACGGGGCTCTCATTCCCGCTCAGCCCTGGGCCCTGAGCTGCTGAAGCCTTTGGCCCTCTGAGATAGAGAACTGCAAATTTTAAGGTTTGGAAATCCCTTCAGCTTTTATCATCCAAAGAGCTGCCCCAATGTGGCTCCCTCTGTCCCCATCACTGGCTCCCTGGTCATTGAGAACCAGTTTAAACGGCCCTTGTGTCTGGTTTTCCAAGGACTGCCCTGTAGGGGGCTGGAATCTGGGCCAGGTTAGTGACGTAACACTAACACTAGAATTGGAAGAGGCCACCGGGGAACTCATTAAAGTCTTGCTCTAAAGTTTTTGTTGCTCCGTATTCTAGATCACCCTGGGTGTTCCCGACTTCAGCTGCAGACTTGGAAGGCGGGCAAATTCTGGGATAGCCCTGCCTTGGTGGCGAAGTCCAGGAATCTCAGCTTTCAGGGAGTCAGGGCAGATTTTTTGTTTCAGATTAATAAACCAAGGCCATATCCTGTGCTGCGATGAGGTCGGCCAATGCTGAGGGGTCCAGATGCTCAGGTTTTATGTTTGATTTTTGCCAATTGATTAGTTGGTTTGACCAGGCAGTTAGGATACAAGGGCCCCGCACTCCCACAGCCTCTCCTGGTTCCTACTCAGATGGGATTCTGACCCCCTCTGGGTGTGAGAATAACACAGGACACTGGGCCCAGATCAGTGACACCACAACCGGATGTCACCTGAAGGGTGGGAACAAGAGCACTGAAATCAGAGAGGTGATTAAAAACCCTTTAATTAGGTAAAATTTACACATAACAAATGCACTCATTATAACTGACTACAGTGCGTTTCAGTCCATCAGTACACCACAATGATCACAAAAATCAAATAGAGAACATTTTCATCCATGATCTTTTGTAGTCACTCGGCCCCCAGCACACCCGGACCTGCAGTGGCACTGTTATCAGTATGGATTGGTTTCACCTTTCCCATAATTCCATATAAATAGCGTATACTCTTGTGTCTCTCTGAGACCTGGGTGTAAGTCCCACTCAGAATTTTTGACCTTTGGCAGGACAAGTTCTGTCTTTGGGTCAGTTTCCTTCGCTGTCAAGTGGGGATGATAATAACTCAGCTCACCTATCTGCTCTCCTCCCTCCTTTCAGGTGCACTGCTGCTACAGTCAGCTCCAGAAAGGCCCTGCACCTGGGGTTGATGGGTAAACAGGAGCCCCCACTCCTCCAGCCTGACTTTTCAGGAGGCTGCTGCTTCGCCCGC